ACTGGAGCTTTTCTTGCTGTGCGCACAGCCTTTTCCTTTCCCTTTCCCTTTCCACCAAGCCTAGAGCCAGCCTGTAATCCAAGTGGCATCCTTGGTGCTGTGCCGCCAGTTGATCTCCTAGCAGTTTGCTTAATACGAGCCATTTGCTAACATTAAGATGAGTTAGTGAAGTATACACAAGACAAAGAAGTAGATCAAAAGATATATGTACTTACAGTGAGTTTGTAGCAAGGATGTTGTAGAAAGAGTAAAGAAAGAGGTAAAGGTTGAAAGGTATGTGTTTTATTTGAAGGTACGCGTTGTAGTGTTGTTTAGAACAGTAATTATTTGCAGGTGAATATTCCTTGACGAATATAATTGTTTGCAACTTTAAAAAAACAACAACCTTACAACCAACCACCTTCCTTGGTTACGTTCCGATCTACACATTCTTCTTCTCTTTTGCGCTTTACCTCTTCACTAGGACCTCAAGTAAGTTTATTATCTTGATTCTACAGTCAGAACTTCTGATGATCTTCTGCTAATCACGTGTTTAGCATGGCGAAACGCAAGGCACCTGAAGAACTCTCCACTAATTTGAATACTATCAAAGCTCGCAACCGCGTCTCCAACCTTACTGAAGATGAGAAGGCTGTTCATTTAGCACTCAAGGCTGACCATGGCGATCTGAGCTACTACTTAAAGAAGTTATACAAGTCTGCAAAGTATATCGCTGCCTCTGCTGAAGACAAGACACGTCTACAGAATGAATTGAAGGTTGAGCGTATTCGTGTTCGGTAAGTTCCTTCTGGTAATCTCTGGTAGCCTTAATCTAACTATAAACAGGACTGAAAAGGGCACCCATGCATCTTGCATTGCGAATCAGAAAGTCAAGAATACTAGCGCCCCTTCTTCTTCTCCACAAGCCCCACCATCTACTCCGCCACAACTTCTGTCTGAGCTTGCTGCATTTGAGGGTATCACCAGTATCCCAATCGATGACGATCATAACAGCGAATGGGAGGATACTGAGGTTGAAGACGATTTAGAGTTGGAGCTTATGTTACGGCGCGACGATATTTTAAATGACGAGGCTGTTCTACCAGATGAGCTTTCTGATGAAGAGATCGCTAGCATCCAGGCTCTCTTAACTCAAGCACGCATTGATGTTGGTACCTCATAGTCTGGTAATCTTCTGGTAATCTTCTGGTAATACTAACGGTTGATAGGCCCATGAAGAGTCCAATTTCCGCAAGTGGCAACATTTCTGGGATAGCTGTATCCGCTCATATACGAGAAAGGCTGGAAAGCTGAGAAAGAAGCCTGAGCATCTCTTTGAATATATGCCATGGATTGATGTAGAAGAAGGGTACGTCTCTGATCATTCTAGCAATCTTCTAGAGATACTAATTGTTTATTATAGCACTTTTCACAACGTTATCCCACCACATAAATATTTCTGTTTGTACGAGCAGGCAGTTTGGACAAACTTTACAGCTTGGAAGTTTGGAAAGTGGGCCCAATTACCAGGACCTGCGCAGTGGTACCCAAAGTCTTACAATCTTGTCGACAACGGATGGTTACAAGTCTCCACTCATAGTTCTAGCTTCAAAGAGGCGTTCTTACTTGTCTACTCTAAGAAATTTGATAAGGAAAAGTGGGCTAAGGTATCAGCTGCACAGGATATGTTGTTTCTGGAGTTAGAGTAGAGGAGAGAAATGGAGTATTTGATTTTCCGACGCGAATAGGGGCTATAGAGATTTAAGTATTTCATCGTAGCCAGACTTCTGGTAATCTTCTGATAATCAAACAATTTGCTACTTGCCAAATGTCATCGCAATATTCAGAGTTGTTTGACTCTGACAATCCTATTTCTAATATATTCTCAGACTCTCTTCCCTCTTCTCAACGACTACCTTCATTAAATCAAATCCCTGCGGGCCTCGAATATACTGGCAAATTAAACCAATTCATCAAATGGACTAAGGATACACACGATGTATTCATTGAGTGGTGGAAGCTATCACGATGGTATGAACAACACTCAGATCATACTACAAAACTCCTTACGAAGATTGCATGGGATTCAACCAACCGGAGTTCTCAATACTGGAGAATTTATCACCAAGGAGCAGACCGGCTTTCTGGAGAACCATGTGTCATTTGTACCTATTGTTCGAAGGCCCTTACGCATCCTGCAATCAAGTCTGCTGGCCCAAAGTCTATGGCAACACATCTTGCATCAGACATTTGCAAAAAGAAGTCACGGATGGGTAAGGATAGTCTCTATCAAATGCGAATCAATCAGATGCGACCTCAACAGGTAAGGATTACCAGATTATTACCAGAATTATATAGGCTAATATCTATAATAGGATCATATTCTCACACAAGAGGCATTTTACGAACAAGTTCTATACACAGTTATCTCAACTCATAGCTCGTTCCGCTCAGTCGAGGATCCTGAATGGAAAAGGCTTGCTATCTTACAGAATCCTCACTATCCACTACCCTCAGCAACAACTATTCGAAACCTCTTAACAACAAAGCTCACACAAATCGAAGAAGAGATGCTACAAGATGTTGTTCCTGGTTCAAAGATTGCATTATCGCTCGACTGTTGGTCAAGTGTTACTCGACTTTCATTTATGGGTGTTATTGCATCATTTATCGACCGTCATTGGAAAATGCAAGAGGTCTTGATTGGGTTTGAACCTATATATACAGAGCATACTGGTGCTGAGTTATGTGGAATACTTGAAAAAGTTATCACAAGGCAGCATTTAGAAGGACGAATTATATCCATTACGACTGATAATGCGTCAAACAACACTTCAATGATGAGAGATGTGGAAATAATGCTTGATAGTATTGCAGACAACGAGCATTTCATTGGAGGAAAAGTACAACACATACCCTGCCTAGCTCACGTTATTCAACTTGCCCTTAGTGCTCTCCTTGGTCGAATCCGGATTACGCCAACAAATCAAGAGATCTTAATGAACTGGGAAGAAGAGAATCAGATGGAGGGCCTTGCAAAGTTGCAGAAGGACAAGGGTATTGGATTTACACTTGGAAAGGTATATATTCTCTTGTTAGTTCTGGTAAACTTCTGGTAGTCTTTTCTAATATCTCATAGCTCCGGAAGCTCACTATCTTTGTTAATTCAAGTCAAACTCGAAGGAACAGGTTTATGACTTTGCAAAAGGCAAACATGAACCGGGGTCAATCATCTCAGAGGCTTCTTCGACTTATTCAAGATGTATCAACTCGATGGGATTCGACATGCCATATGCTTCTGCGAGCACAGCAACTCAAGTCAACAATCAATCAATATACTCGAGGCGATCATGGTGCTCACATGTTCAGACTTAGCGAGCTAGAATGGAAGCACATCGAATACATCATTGATCTTACAAGGCCATTCAACTTCTTTACAACAAACATTGGATCGTCAGCCGGACCTACTGTCTGCTATACACTTGGAGTATATCAAAAACTCTTATCAACGCTTGAAGGAACTCGGCACCGGCTACGGCATAAGACATATCCATGGGCAGCAAAGATGACTTTAGCAATCGATGCTGCAGAGAAGAAGATTAGGAAGTATTATAACAAGCTATACACAAATACTGGATCTATCTTCGCATTTGCTAGTATCTTAAATCCTAGTGTGAAGCTCTCACACTTTAACAAAAAGGTTTGCAAGCTTGACTTTTCAATACGAAATTGGGAGACAGAGTTTGAACAACAGTTTAGGACTCTTTATAAAGAGCAGTACTCTACAGTGCGAGTTGCGAGTCAATCAGGATTACGAGATGCAGATATGGATCCATTAGCCTTAGTATTGCAGCAAAGTCAGACATTAAATGGGACTCGGGGCCAGCGAGAGGAATATGTGAATGAGGCTGATCTCTATCTTGATGCTCGTAAGTTTCTGGTAATCTTCTGATAATCTTATTCTAACTTGTATAGCACATATCTACACAAAGATATTGCTATTTTGGCAACAAAAGGAAGAGCAATTTCCTGGTCTATCAGCAATGGCTCGTGATATACTTTGTATTCCTGCTGCTGAGTCTGGAGTTGAGCGAGTCTTTAGTGCCGCAAGGGACGTATGTGGCCACCGACGTGGTCAACTTAATCCTGAGACGATTAAGAGTATTATGCTTATATATTACTCTCGACAATACAAGAATCGTCAAGGTCATCGTGACAAGCTTGCAGATATGATGGACGTCGTTGATATGACTGAGGAGCAAGTCGAAGAAGAGTATGAGGCACAACGACAACGGATGTGCAATTCTATCGAGTTACAATATATCAGCGATGAAGAAGAACCACGATCAAATACACATATCCGAGAGACATATTCAAAGGTACAATATCCTCCGTTTAATCCTCAGCGGCCACAGCAACAGCAAGACTTATCACAAGCTGCACATGAAGAACGACAAATGCGCTACCAACAAGGTGAAGAAAGAGATAGGGCTGACCGTCTTAACGAGACCTTATACGACATCCCAGATGACGATATCCCAGATAATGAAGATATAAGAGAAGATGGTAATAATGAGGAGCCTATACTTCCAACTATTCATGACGATGAAGATAAGGATATGCCGTCCTCGCCACCAACGCCTATCCAACGCCCTCGGAAGACTGGAAGAGATCTACTTGATATCTTTCAAGCTACTCGTCAAGACCCTATAAATACTTTAGGTATTAGTAGGTCTGGCCGGCCTCATCAAGCAAGGTGGAAAGATGTTCTTGAGCATATATAATATAGTGTTCTGATAATCTTCTGATAATCGTGGTACTTAGATAGAGGAATATACGTGATTCGTTCTCACAGCTTATTAGAGATGGTAGAGTGATGCTGATAAATGTAATACTTTAAGTTAACTTACAACTGTAACCATAAAACAGTATTAATCGTATGAGGGACTGTTCACGTAATGCATATATCTTACACGTGACAGCCGAGTACTCACTGGGTTTTTACAGAGTAACTGAGTATTGGCCTCACTCACCGAGTCGAGTGAAAGGTTCAGCTACTCACCCAGCTGAGTAACCCACTGAGTGAGTGAGCCGAGTATTGGGCGAGTAGTGCGCAGCCTAGCTATTAGACGTGGCTTTACCTTCCAGAGCGCTTTAGTCCTCCGCCAAAATGGTGGTCGTAAATCCAGAGAAGCTGGTCAGTTTGCAGCACAATGCAGAGGATGTGAGGAATGTGAGTGACAGATCGACGAAAAGTGCATACACTTTATATACTGACAGAAAGGAAGATCTGTATTTTAGCGCATGTTGTGAGTAACCCCCAGGTCCCCGTCCCCTCAAGACCCCAACTGACCACCCTCACCAGGACCACGGCAAGACCTCCCTCACCGACGCCCTCCTCGCCACAAACGGCATCATATCCCCGAAACTCGCCGGCAAGATCCGCTACCTCGACTCGCGGCCCGACGAGCAGCAGCGCGGCATAACCATGGAGTCCTCCGCCATCTCCCTCCATTTCTCGATGATGCGGAAGTCCGCCCCGGACGCGACACCCGAGCAGAGGGAGTACCTGATAAACCTGATCGACTCCCCAGGACACATTGATTTCAGCAGCGAGGTGTCCATTGCGTCGCGGCTCTGTGATGGCGCCGTCGTGCTTGTCGATGCTGTCGAGGGCGTCTGCAGCCAAACGGTAACAGTTTTACGGCAGACGTGGATTGAGAATATGAAGCCCCTGCTTGTTATTAACAAGATGGACAGGCTGGTTACGGAGCTGAAGATGAGCCCGGGGGAGGCGTATATACATCTCAACAAGCTGCTGGGGCAGGTTAATGCCGTCCTGGGCAGCTTCTTTCAGGGAGAGCGGATGGAAGAGGATCTGAATTGGCGCGAGAAGGTCGATGAGCGAGTCGCTGCTGCGGCAGCAGCGAAACTAAAGACTTCCGCGTTAGACGAATCCGACGTAGATGTCTCCGCATCAGCCGAGTACGAGGAGCGCGACGACGAGGATATCTACTTCGCGCCCGAAAAGAACAATGTCATCTTCAGCAGCGCCGTTGATGGCTGGGCGTTCACAGTCAGGCAATTCGCCAGTTTGTACGAGAAAAAGCTCGGGATCAAGCGGAACGCCATGGAGAAAGTGCTCTGGGGCGACTTCTACCTCGATCCCAAAACCAAAAAGGTGCTAGCGCACAAGCATTTAAAGGGCCGCAACCTGAAGCCGATGTTCGTCCAGCTCGTCCTGGAGCAGATATGGGCAGTATACGAGGCTACCACCGGCGGCGATAAGGGGAAGGGGTTCGTGGATTTCTCTCTTTTCTTCCTAACTTTCCTTCTTTATATTATACTATCACCTGTACCATACTCTATGCAATGGAATATCCCTCTAATTCGTTGTTGCAATAGTGACCCTGCCATGACTGAAAAGATCACGAAATCACTCGGAATCAGCCTGCCGCCGCAGCTCAAGCGGTCCCGAGACCCGCGGGCGATCCTCACAGCACTCTTCTCGTCGTGGTTACCGCTTTCGACGGCTATGCTTGTCTCAGTTATAGAATCGCTTCCCCCGCCACCCGCTGCGCAAGCCTCGAGGCTACCCTCTCTCATCGACGCTTCACCAGGCTTCGACCACGTCGACCCCGCCGTCCGCGATGCAATGGTTAGTTTCAAATCCGCCAAGGGTGACCCAGTCGTCGCCTACGTTAGCAAAATGGTCTCGGTCCCCGAGAGCGAGCTGCCACAAAACAAAGGTCGCGTTGGGGGGATGCTGAGCGCCGAGGAGGCAAAAGAACTAGGCCGCCGGAAGAGAATCGAGATTGCACGAGCTCTGGCTGCAGAAGGGGCAGCGGCAGGAGGGGGTGATGACGTACCTGATAGCGTTGATAGCTTCGTGGATACGTTCGCCAATACCACAATCTCGGAGACTAACGGGGGTGAGGAGGAGAAGAAGGTGGATAAAGAGCACCTCATCGGATTCGCGCGGTTGTTCTCAGGCACGCTCTCCGTAGGTGATAGCGTTTACGTCCTCCCTCCGAAATTCTCGCCCGCACACCCCCATCTCAGCCCCGAACCACATAAAGTCACCATCACGGGGCTCTACCTCCTAATGGGCCGCGGTCTAGAACCACTCACCACCGTCCCCGCCGGCGTCGTCTTCGGCATCGGTGGTCTCGAGGGCCATATTCTCAAATCCGGCACGCTATGCAGTCAGCTCGAGGGAAGCGTCAACTTGGCCGGTGTAGCGATGGGATCGCAGCCTATCGTGCGCGTGGCGCTCGAACCGGAGAACCCCGCGGATTTGGAGAAGATGATTCAGGGGCTAAAGCTGCTGGTTCAGAGCGACCCGTGTGCAGAGTACGAGCACTTTGAGAGCGGAGAGCATGTCTTGCTCACTGCAGGGGAATTGCATCTCGAGCGCTGTTTGGGGGATTTGAAGGATAGGTTTGCACGATGTGAGATTCAGGTCGGAGAGCCGATTGTGCCGTATCGAGAGACGATTGTTAGGGCGGAGGAGATGCGGCCGCCTGCGGATAAGGAGTTGGGACGGGGAACTGTTGTCGCAGTCACGACATCCAAGCAGGTTACGGTCAGGTTACGTGTGCGCCCGCTACCAAAGAAGGTTACAGAGTTTCTAGTCAGGAATGCAGGAGCCGTGCGAAGGCTTTACGCAGACCGCAAAGCCGAAGAGCAAGGGCGGAATCAAGACGCCCAAACCGACAACGGCTCCGAGAAAGACGACCTAGACCTCAACCCCGCCGTCGTAGAAACCGCCGTCCTCTCCCTCGAAGACTTCAAGAAACAACTCCTCGCCGCCTTCGACAGCGTCAAATCCGAGCGCGATATCTGGGCCGGCGTGATCGAAAAAATCACCGCCTTTGCCCCGCGCAGAACGGGGCCGAACTTACTCATTGATAATACTGGGATCTGTGGACGTTTCCTCCGCTCCACGGACGCTGAGGAGGTCGAATCATCAGCAGAGAAGGAAGACGTGCAGACGATCCAGCCGAGGGATTTTGCGGATAATATATCCTACGCCTTCCAACTTGCATGCGCTCAGGGACCACTCTGCAATGAGCCGGTTCAGGGCATAGCTGTCTTCTTGGATGAAGTCACCGTGGCACCTAATTCCGACGACTCCTCCTCGCGCGACCAACTCGGCCGACTAACAGGCGAAGTTATCAAGACCGCCCGCGAGGCCATTCGCGCGGGTTTCCTCGACTGGTCGCCCCGCCTCCTCCTCGCCATGTACTCGTGCGAAATCCAAGCCTCCACCGAAGTCCTCGGTCGCGTCTACGAAGTCCTCACCCGCCTGCGCGGGCGCATCCTCTCCGAAGCCCTAAACGAAGGAACGCCCTTCTACACCATCCTCTCGTTGTTGCCTGTTGCTGCGAGTTTCGGCTTCTCGGATGAAATGAGAAAGCGCACGGCGGGTCTAGCAAGTCCGCAGCTTAAGTTCGCGGGGTTCGAGGTCCTTGATGAGGATCCGTTCTGGGAGCCGAGGACGGAGGAGGAGTTGGAGGACTTGGGGGAGTTTGGGGATAGGGAGAATGTTGCTAAGAGGTATGTGGATGGGGTGAGGGAGAGGAAGGGGTTGTTGGTTCGGGGGAGGGGGAAGGGGATGGGGGAGGGGGAGAAGGGGAGGACGCTGAAGAGGTAGTGGGGGTAAGCTGGACTAAGCTTAGGGGAATTTAGGGGAATTTTTAGAAACTGTGGTGAAATGTGTCTCCACAACCACACCGGGATCGGTTTGAAATTATGGGTCTGGCAGACCAGTTAACCTGAGTCGTGGCGTAAAACTGTGAATTTAACTACGATCAACTATGATACAGGATTCAGTACCGCTCCAAGAAGGTTCCTCTGCTTCTTCTCCATTATGTCCCTCAATTTCATCATCAGAGAATTCGTTCTTGCCCTTTGTTCTACGCCGTTTCTGACTTTGTTTTTGAGTCACGTTTTCTGCCTCCATCACTACATCACATAATTCTTGCGTAGAAATATGAAAGCGACCCTTTAGAACTGCCCCTTTCCCCCTTGTACGTACCATACGTCGCTTTATAACTGATCGTAAGTTGTTGGCATCAAGTTGGTGGACAATACTGCGTGCTCGAAGTTGCTCAGTCCTAACCATGAGTTTTTAGATATATTGCCATACTGATGTTGCTAGTACCCCACCACCATTAATTGTTAATACAAGGAGCGTATTTAACCTTCAATGCTTCAATTGATCGATAATTTGGTTACAAGATTTTTGCGCTGATCCCGGGCTCATAACCTATTGAACAATATCCGTAGGATCCGTGGCAGTAGCTAGAGAATATAAGCCGAAAATACAGCCATGAAGCAATAGGGCCTGAAGTGATAATTTTGTAGTGCATATTCTTATAATTGAAGCTATTCTAACTACTATATATACTGTTACGGGCTACGGGCTCTATTCCTATGCCTATTCGTAGCTCGGATCCTGAAACCCTCCTGGTTTCAGTCCGTTCCCTAGAGCTTTAACTTGGCTTGTTAGCATGTTCTGGGAGTATAGCCTGGATAGCTGCTTACTTGTACTACTGATAATAGCAGAGATAGCAGTCACACAATGTTCCACGGGGATGAACATGGAATTCTTTGATAAAAGCTGGGATATATATCATATACATATATAATATATGTCGTTGAACGACGTTGTGAAGTTGTACCCAGATGGAAACATATCCAGCGGAACCGCAGAGCATACTGTATGAGAGCTCTACCTCTATCGCCTCTGTGCCTAACTCCCCTATGCACAATGAAGCAGCAGATTGCAAGGCTGTCCACGATGGGATATCACTCTAAGAAGTGCTGGCGCCGTATTCTTTTGCAATTCTTTTCTTCTCATCTATGGCTCTCACGACCCTCAGGTGCTCATCGGGGCCGAATTTGTCCCTGAATTTCTCGTCCGTGTACACCGGCTGTGGATGATCAGTATGAAGACATCCAAATTATAAAGGCACGGGAGCTCACGCATTTAGGCCTGTCGGCTGGATTAAATTGGTATTTGTCTCTAAACTTTTTGAGAGCGTATGGGGGTATTTTGGGCACAGAGACACTGTTATCTATGTTAGCAAGTTACGAGTAAATATAGTGGGTTGAATGATTAGTTACAGCTCTCGTCCTTTCCATTTGAACATCCGCATATCATAGGTTGTGGCATCCACAGGACCGTTATCAATTACAAGGAAACACGTTTGATTAATCGAGAAATATGTCCCTTCACACAATAGACGATCACCTTTGGATTCACCATAGTCTCGATTCAAAACTTCTTGACAGGCTATGTTTGCCATTAACTTATTCTTGTCCTCGGTTGAACCAGGCATCTCGTGGGATTTGCAGATAACGAAAATACGGATAGCCATGGTTCTATCCTTGAATTGTTAAAAGTATACAGCGTAAGAGGGTTTATTTCATCCAACGACTGACTTGTCCTCCCTCATATATTTGTTGAACACAAATTTGGAGTTTGACGACTTGATTGAGAAACTACGGGGGGCGAAGCCCCTATATATACACGTTGGTATACAGGCTACGCATGTGCAGCGTACTACCAGGAACGCAGTTCCAACACGCCCCTACTGTGTTGCCTCTGCAACAGCGCCCCTGCTTCTAGTTCCTCCTAAACCCAAGTCTCTGCCTATCCCTCTTTCCTAGCCCAAATCAATGCTCGAGGCATAACCTTCTGTAGCAAGTGTTGCATCTGCAAAGTTCTTGAGAATACAGGCCATATTTCGAAGGTCCTGCCAGTCCCCTTGTGAAACTACTTATATATTAGTAAATAATTAAATTTAAGAGACATAAATATGTACTTACGGAGGTCATTCTCATTCTCCTCGAATTTTATGCAGAACAGTTCTATAGCATGTTGTACCCGTAGCGCCCGTTGTAGCATTGAATACCAGCTATTCCAACGTGTTGAATTATCTCTCAACAAACATAGGTTATTGCTCATCAACTTAAAGCTGGCGATACGTTGTGGGCTGCGTTGGATATAAACTACAATGTTATGTAGTTTACCAAGTGGACCTTTCTTTCTCCACTGCTCCATCTCTATTTCTGTCGGCGACGACAATAGCTCCGTATTATTATCCAGTGAGAGGTCCTCCTCATCACTTGCAAAGAGAAAAGCTTAAACAGCGAGGTTGATCACATGGCCGTTACACCGTAATCTATGTCGCCTAGGGTCCCATATTATCTCATGCTCCTCTTTCAGCTTTTTCGAAAGCTCCTTGATCATTGTATCATTATTTGTTGCATTGTCCATGTAAGGATCGTAAGCCTAAGGGTCTCACGGGAGTCCAGGGAACCAGGTCAGGAGGCAGGAAGGTATCGTATTCTGTAAGCACAATAGGTCTACGTAGATACATCGACTATTGACTGGAGGCCTTCTTCCGAGGCCTCCAACCCCTTTTATCTATGCACCTTGTGCCCTATTTTACCGAGCCCTATGGGCCGCTTATGAAAGGGACCTCACGTGGTGGCACGTGATGGCCTTCCTTACAGTCCATTACAAAATAACCAACTTTTGAAGCAATGCCATAGTGCGTGACACGGCCGCTCACTAGAGCGCCATCCAAGCACGGCGTGTGAATTGACATATGAAAACACCCACAGAACAAATACTCTGCCATCTTAAACCCCTTTTTTATAAGATAATGAGAGTTCTGGAGACTCAGTAAAAGAATTATAACTTATTTAGAGGGTGCCATCGCTATTTTGTGTGAGTATTGGAAGAGTCATACCGTTCACCTCACATTTCGATATGGCCTAATCGGGTAGGCAAGCAGACCCGTGACTGCAGTCTCGTAACAACTTTCGATATATCATTTATTAGCTTATTAAATTAATGCTACCGTCAAGCCTAGATATAAGGATACTCTTAGGGCCACACTTCCAGATATCCGTATAAAGGGGGTGGACGATTATGTTGAATCCTCGGCCCGGAAACAGGGATCAGGGCCCTGATACCGAAGCTGTGTCAGCCATTTCGTGATCCTCCGGATACTGGATCTTCCGATTCTAAAAGCTTCGATACGCCGAGAGCGTATTCGATAGTGTCTGTTCAATTCGTCGCTTCCATGATAGGAAGTTGGCGCTGCCTTTGTGTAATGATGTACGGTTACGCTCGCGCTCCATCGCCGCCCTCGCCGCCCTTTATTGAGTGCAGCAGAACAGCTTTCCCTTTACTCCTTACCACAGCATTGCTTTCAACTCTTCTAATTTTCCCAAACTATCCTTCCAATATGAGAACTCCTCTCATATTGACCTCAAGTTATAAAAAGCATTGCTGGTTGCTGTATTTGCAAATAAAGTGCAAGGCGTGACCCCGAAACCAACTATATAATGCAGTCTATGTTGTCACCTATTAATTGGGATGGCTGCGTGGCTGAAGGAGCTTACAGCGATCTGCACTCGTTTGGCCCGCTCAGTACCTCGCAATCATCCTGGAGGACACCACGAAGTTCAAAGGCTTGTAGAAGAAGCATGCAGTGGTTGGGTGCGGGTATTTTCCCCCTTCCAGGTGAATCCTCTATTTTTTGCAATTTTTTTTGGCTTATGTGAGAACTCTCTCCGATGCCTGTAGCTGGAGATATGAATTTTTGAAAATAAAAGGAGATCAATGAATCTCATGGAGACGAGGATTTGACGAGAAGAAGCGATTTAATGGGGGGTGGGAAGATGGGATGTATGTGTTGATGAAGAGAGAGGGAGGAACGGTTGTTGTGGTTGTGATGGGGAAGGAGTAAAGGGGTTGCCGGCGGTGATGGATGAGAGTTGTGGCGGCAGGAGCACGGCGGCAGGACTATGGCGCTAGCAATCCGGCAGCAGAAACACGGGAAGAAGGGATGTGAAGGAAAGAGCGTCTTAGTATGAATACTGAGGAAGGAACACAGACGGAAGGACCGTTACGGCAAGAACGCTGGCAAGGGGCATCGCGATGCGGGGAAGGATATAGAACTAGTCTTAGCTGAAGTCTACCTTGATAAAAGCGTCGGTCGAGTACGAGGGGTCGATGGATTTAATCCAACTCTTATGACTTTTCCAATTGTCAGGACCCGCGCGGTGATATGGATACTGCGGTATGGATATGGTATTAAGGGAACTGTGGTTGGGAGGCGGCGGCGGGATACTGGAGGCAGGAATACCGTGACAGGAATGTGGTGACAGGAATGTGGTGACAGGAATACGACGACAGGAATACAAGTGACAGGGACGCTGTCGGCAGGAATATAGCTACACTTTCAAGTGAGAATTTCGGTTATAATAGTGATGTATCCGAATGAAAGCGCAAGCCCCCGATGATTCCAACTGTGCAGAAAGTTTTTTTTCCAAAGAATAGACAGTCGCTGGTAAAGTTTGTTTCGTTTGATAGAGGTGTCTGCGGCAGGAACAAGGCTTCCATAATACTCTGGCTGAGAACTGAAAATTAAGATCTATTCATCTAAGATCTATAACCCCTCTGCCTCCCTATCTACGACTTCTTCCCCTGCTTCCTCGGCCCCCTCCCCTTAAACCCCCACCCAATCTGATTTGCAACCTGAATCTCCGTCCCCAACTCATCCGCCCAATCCCACACCAGCCCCGGATTCCTCTGAAACCCCCTCCCAACAAAAATCGCATCCACCCCCTCCACCGTTTCCTCTCCCGGCCCCTTCCCCTGCAAAATCTCCTCCGCAAACTTGCCGCTGTGAATCAACCCCACAGCACCAACCGCCATCTTATCCCCAACAGCCTTCTTAATCATCTTCGCCATCTCAACCTGGTATCCTGGGACCGGCGCGATTTTCTGGCCTAGATGGTTTCCTCCGCTCGAGACATCGAGGAGATCCACGCCCGCTTCGGCGAGTAGAGGCGCGAGTTTGACTGAATCAGCGAGCGTCCAGCTCTCCCCCTGGAAATCCGCATGCTCCAAATTATCACTCGCCGAGATCCGCATAAAAAGCGGCATCCCCTCCGGGATCGACCCCCTCACCAACCTCACCAACTCCAGCGTCAAGCGCGTGCGATTCTCAAACGACCCACCATAGCTATCCGTCCTCGTATTGCTCACCGGCGACAAAAACTCGTGGAGCAGGTAGCCATGCGCATTATGGATTTCAATCACATCGATCCCCGCCTTCACCGCCCTCTTCGCCGCCGCCACGAAGGAGACTTTGAACTCCTCTATTTGCTGGACCGTCATCGCCTTGGGGTCTGGGAAGTTGCCGGGGGAAAAAGAGATTGCGCTGGGAGCGAGGACATTCTCCGGCCACCCCCCTACAGCCTCCGTCGCTACCGCACCGGCGCTCAACCACGGCGCTACACAACTCGCCTTCCTCCCCGCATGAGCCAGCTGAATCGCGATTTTCTGGTTCTGGGAGTGCGCGAACCCGACAGTAGCCTTAAGCGGCTCGATCTGCGAGTCCTGCCACAATCCGCTGTCTTCAGGGGTGATCCGGCCCTCGGGGACGACGGCCGTGGCTTCGATCATGGTGAGCCCGGGGCCGCGCTGGAGGATGCCGCCGAGGTGGGTGAGGTGCCAGGCAGTGTGGTGGCCGTCTTTGGCGGAGTATTGGCAGAGGGGGGAGAGCATGATGCGGTTTTGGAAGGTTAGGGAGCGGAGGTGGAGGGGGGTGAAGAGTTTGGGGATGGGTGTGCCGTTGGGGAGGGCGGTACCGGCAGGGGGGGTTTGGGCGGGGGTGAAGTAGGAGATCTGGAGGGGGTTAGGTTAAGCGTTTCTTGGAGGGTGAGCAGGAGGGCAAGGAGGAGGGCAAGGAGGAGGGCAAGGAGGAGGGCAAGGAGGAGGGCAAGGAGGAGGGCAAGGAGGAGGGCAAGGAGGAGGGCAAGGAGGAGGGCAAGGAGGAGGGCAAGGAGGAGGGCAAGGAGGAGGGCAAGGAGGAGGAGGAGGAGGAGGATGGGAATGGACTTACCCCGGCTTGCGCCTTATTCTCAATATCTTGATGAGCCGTCATCTTGAAGTTATTCTTCTCCACTGTCTCGAAGGGCGGTGTGTTGCGAGAGCGATAGCTTGACAATGCGACGGAAGAACGACTACGTCAAAGCTGTCTATAAACAGAAGAAACGAATGCTTTCAGACAGACAGACGGACAGAACGGGAGAGGAAAAATCGCAATATATATACACCAACAATAAAGTATGCGCGTGGCGTAAAAGCGTACAGGCCTTATGGCTTAATAATCCCACCCCCTCCATCGCCGCTAAATAGCAGATAAGATGCCAATATCCCCTCCCCTCATGATGTCATTTTCAATGGCTGGAGGGCATTGGTTACTACAGCCAAAGTAACCCCTCGAGATCCACCGCCAAGGAACGACCCCGCCAAAATATCTGGCTGACAAAACAGGGGAAGTTTTTGATAGAGGGAGGTAAAAAAATGTGCCTTTTGGAATACAATTGCCTTGATTTAGGAGCAAGTGTTAGGGCCGCCAAAGAGTTCTGTGACGCGTCGCGTCAATGGAGGTTTGACACGCTCCCAAGCCCGCCAGCAACAGCAGAATCTCTCAGGTGCGCAAGAGCAGGTACTTCTGAAGTGGATCAAGGGCCTTACCATTAGCGGTTATTCTCTAGGGCATCGGTTGTTGAAAGAAATAGCTGAAGAACTCCGCTCACATCGGTCACTTAATTTTGACCTTCACCTTCAAATCGCCATTAGGCGACGGATTGAAACTGTACGCATCGATGGCGCGACAAAACCAGTGCTTGATGCATGGTTTAATGCATACACACAGGCGGTTTAAGAGTTCGGGATCACGCAAGAAAATACATATAACATGGATGAATCTGGATTTTCAATTGGGATAATAGGATCTACTCGGATTATACTAGATTCCACACTTCGTACAAAGCATCAAGCGCATCCTAGGCGTCAGGAATGGGTTTCTATGGTAGAGTGCATATGTGCAGATGGAACCATTCTCCTACCCCTCGGGATCTTTAAGGGCAAGAACGTTCTCTAATCATGGATTCCACCTACAATTATCAACGAGTGGTTCTTCTCTGCAAATGCAAAAGGCTAGACAAGCAACCTTCATGGGTTAGAGTGGTTGAAACGCATCTTTGAACCAACTACACGTGTAAAGGCAGATGGTTAATATCAACTTCTCATATGCGATGGCCATGATTCACATATCAGTAGGAGCTTTATTGCACATTGCTTACAGAACTGCATTATACTTCTAATCCTTCCCCCTCATACATCGCACTTGCTCTAGCCATTAGATGTTGCAATATTTGGACCTTTTAAAAAGCGTCTTATAGCAGCACTCTCTCTGCTCAACCAAGCTCAACTTACGCGCATCTAGAAGTATGAATAGATGGAGGCATATATAGAAGCACGACTTGATGTATGTACTCATCCACAATATCGAGTTAGCATACCGTAGAGCTAGCTTGTTTCCGTTCAATCCTTAGCGAGCTCTACGTTCATTGAATTATGATATGCCATCACTTGGGGTTGACCGACCAAAAACACCAAATCAGTATGATATTTTTAATCAAGTCTTTGTTAATAGGTCACCCCTAGATAGCATAACATTACGCACTGCAATTCAAACTGAATAAATCATAGCCTTAGCTATACTTTCTATGAAACTCGTAATTTGACATATTTCATCTCACAGCCTCGAACACTTCCAGCCTCACCAACATCGATGAACTCCCCCTATCCACTAATAAAGCATAACAAACGAGAATCTAAGTTGTGAGGTGGGAACATATGTGTAGTAGATGCGAGATAATTGCCGTGATATCCGTACCCCTCATAGCCTTGATTTCCCTCGAAGCTGCATTCTAGTGCACGCTTGCGCGGTCAGGTCCGACAGCCTCACTACACCCTGTGCGCTAAGAATTTGGACTTCAGAAGTTATGTCAATCTTCTTGGAACCACTTATCTTCTAAAAGATCTTGGGCAGTCGGCCGGTCTCTTGGGTCAAGTTTCATCACCTTAAGCACAAACTCTTTATCCTCTTTGCAAATTTCTTGGGCGGTTGTAAGATGGAAAGGCCTCATCGACTCCGGAGGGGTGTTTTGCATTATCCATACTAAAACCGCTAACCTTTCCTGGTCCGCAATCTGCTCGTATGATTCTGGAAATGGTCCGAAGCAGCTATGGTGTCTCATAAGAATCTTGACCTCGTATTCATCACGGTCTACCCAAACACCTGGTTTAAAGATGTGGAACCCTTATCCGTACATGAGACTGATAAGTGTAGTAACAATAAAATTAGACCATTAAATAATTTAGTATAGAGGGATAATTTAAAACTTACCGTTGCACCAAAAGACAGATGTCAGTTGTGGTACCCCAACTCATTTGCAGATGTGCTTCTGGACTCCCAAACATAGGTGTTCCTATAGAGTCCCCATCCAGGGCATAAGTAGAATCCATATGGACAGTGCTCCCAAAATCAGCTAGTTGAACATCCTTAAACCGAACTCCACCTGGCGCATAATTCGCAAGTATGTTGCTTGGCTTAACGTCTATAATACACCTTAGTTAGAGAGAGAACGTAGTATTAGTTAAATCGAAAGATACGAACCTGTGTGAACTTCACACAGGTCCGTATCTTTATTTAGTATAGAGTAATCTAGGATTCCTAGATTACTCTATACTAAATAATATGCAAGGAAGGCAACCACACAAGGGACGATAAACGTGACCACTATACAAGAGTGTGCTTTCATGACAAGGAGGATGGCAAAAGTGTGCATTTTCCACTAAAGAAGAATTAGTTTTAAAGCTGTAGTCCGAGCTAGACACTAGAATATGGAACAACGTTAGAAAAGTCAGGATTAGATGTTTTACTTTGATTGCCAGGCTTCAATTCTACTACGATATTTAATAGATGATGCACGTACCACAATGCAGAGTATGTGGTAAGGGATATCCTCTCTGCTAATTGCTAATACTGACAACTTGCTCACCCGAGCTCAGGCAAGCTCATCCACAGCTCAGTTAGGCCCACTTGAGCTCAGTTTAAAGCAGCAGCAGCTCGGGCCCATACCACGTCGAGATTCCAGCGTTAAATTTCCTATATCACATTCATTAGACTGTCTATGTAGCCTATAGTCAACATATAACTTGGAAGCTATTATTGAATTTGCAACTTCAATTTCTTATCTATATATTTATCAACGCTCTTAATACTCAGTGACCTGCTTAATGCTATCATAAATCCCTTCACACACCTGTCAGCATCTGTCGTACGAATTATATAGGAAGGTAACTTACTCGCAACATCTGGGATATTGAGCTTCTCATACAATAACGGCATATGTATACTCCATCCCGCACACCTCTTCACCGGCGCCTCCAGCCTCAAAAACGTCTCCTTATCTTCTTGGATAGCGGCGGCAACCTCAGCCCCGATACCCGCATTAATCATGCTCTCATGAACCACCACACAGCGTCCCGTCTTCTTCACACTCTTCAGCACAGTCTCCTTGTCCCACGGGTATACCGTCCTCAAATCGATCAACTCAACGCTCAATCCCAAGTCCTTCTCGATGTGCTCGATCGCCGCACTGCACGTGTAGAGAGGGTGGCCGTATGAGACCACAGTCACGTCGGAACCTGGCTTGAGGATCTCGGCGGATGATAGAGGGAGAGTGTATGAAGAGACAGGGACTTGCTCGACCGCAGCACGGTAGAGGGCTTTGGGCTCCATGAAGATGCAAGGGTCGTTCGAGGCGATGGCCGCCAGTAACAGGCCCTTTGCTTGAATGGGACCGCGAGGCATGATGACGCGCAGGCCGGGGATATGTGTAAATAAACTCTCTGGAGATTGCGAGTGGTATCTGTGTTCGGTTGGCATCATTACTTGGGTAGAAACCGAAACATGTCGGAGGGGAACATACAAAGCACCATGACCAACCCCACCACAAGGCATCCTAACGGTTAAGCCTCCAACACCCCTCCCATTCGTTCCATCACGATACCTATACTTGGCCGCCTCGTTCACCAGCTGGTCGAAAGCCGGGTATACATAATCCGCAAACTGAATCTCGGCTACAGGCCGCATTCCTTCGGCCGCCAGCCCAATCCCAAAACCCAAGATTCCTTGTTCAGTAAGCGGTGTATTAAAGACGCGGTCGCTGCCAAAGTTCTGTGACAGGTTCATCGAGCATCGAAATACTCCTCCGAAGGCCACATCTTCGCCGAAGAGGAGCACCGAGTCGTCTGTTGCCAGAGCGGTCGAGAGTGCGTCATTGATGGCTTGGAACAGGTTCATGCGCTTCGTCGTGCTGTTTCGAACTTCAGCTGAGAGCTCGGGGTTTCTTAGAGCTGATTGAGAGGAGTGACTGAGGATTGGGGTTGTGGAGAAGTCTGTCGGTATGTTGAGCCGGGCATTTGGAGGGCTCGTCGAGTACTGGCGGCCAGTTGCGGTCGAGGAAGCGGATGAGGTGACGGCACGTAAGACCTGTGCCGTAGGGCGGATTATCCTGAGAGACTTCATGCTGAGCAACACTCTACAGGACTTAAGAATGAATTATGAAGTTAAGAGAGACAAAGGGATATATTTCCATTCTTTTCAAAGCGTTGAAGTATGAGGAATGCGGGCGAGGAGGGCTTATCGGCTACCTGCGGCTTGTGGTGGGAGTTGTATCCTCAAGTCCATCCCGCTTCCAGACCCTTATCGTCGCACAGGCCACGCGATTGTTGCTCCGTCAACCGCCAAGTGACGACGCTGACCCTGCAATTACGAGATGCAAGGATACGGTCGCAAAAGATGTCGACGATACCGATTAATCTATTACTCTGGAACCGAGGCAGATACAATTGAATAAATCGAATTATCGTTTTGGTCGCAAGGATAGAATGCCTCGCGAGGCTGAACGACCCAGGAATCGGGAGCGAGATCCAGATAGAGAGCGAGAGAGGGAGCAGCGACGACGCGAAAGGGAAAGAGACCCTGAAAGGGAGCGAGAGAGGGAGCAGCGACGACGCGAAAGGGAAAGAGACCCTGAAAGGGAGCGACGACACCGCGAACGGGACCCGGATAGGGAGCGGCGACGGCTCGAAAGGGATCCGGAGAGGGTGCTTGAAAGGGAGGAAAGAAGGAGGGAAAGAGCGAGACGGAAATCACGAAACCCTGATAGAGACTCGAGAGACTCGAGGGACTCCCGATCAAGGGAGGAGCCGCCTTCCTCACAATCAAGCTCGCAACCTTTATCCGCCGATTCGTTAGCGAAACTCAACCAGCTCAATAAGAAAGAAAGGTCGGGAAAACCAGAGAAAAAGGCGGAAAGGCCAAGGAAAAAGCGCCACAGGGAGGCATTTAATGAGAAATATGAGGCGATCGGTGTCGACAAACCAAGGCGGGATAAGAAGAAGAAGAGGCGAGTAGTGAGCGGCGCTTTACTAGAAGAAGGCGATGGAAAGAGGTTATCATATATAAGAGGAGGAGGTTACGACAAACAGGCGGAAGCAGACGCAAAGAAGAGGAAAAAGCGGGTATGGATCATTGTCGGAGTTATCGTTTTGTTACTTGCCATTATTATACCCGTTGCCGTTGTTCTTTCCAACAAGAACAAGGGCAGCACCACAGCCGCAGCAAATACAACGGCGGCAAATCCGCCTGCGACAGGACCAGCGAATACGAATTTGAACGGCGTTGATCCTGCCAGCGTGCCAGCAGCTGTAAAGGGGACGCGATTGGATCCCTTCTCCTGGTATGACACAACGGATTTTAACGTCACATACACTGGCGAAAAGGTCGGTGGGCTACCAGTAATAGGGTTGTTCTCAAAATGGGATGACTCTGCGAAGGCAAACGACAAAGTGCCAGCATTAAACCAGCCATGGGGAACCTATGCCAGCAGGCCCGCCAGAGGTGTCAATGTAGGGGGCTGGCTATCGATAGAGCCGTTTATCACGCCCTCGCTGTTCAGTGCTTATGACACGAGGCTTGGGATTATTGATGAATGGACGCTATGTGAGCACCTAGGCCCGACTCCCGCAAAGGACATTTTGGAGAAGCATTATTCCACATTCGTGACGGAGCAGACGTTCGCAGACATCAAAGATGCAGGCTTAGACCACGTCCGGATCCCATTCTCATACTGGGCGCTGCAAAACTACTACGGCGAGCCTTATGTGGAGGGCGTAGCATGGCGATACCTCCTCAGAGGGATTGAGTGGGCTCGCAAGTACGGTCTCCGGATCAACTTAGATGTCCACGGCTTGCCAGGTAGCCAAAATGGCTGGAACCACAGCGGGCGCCAAGGAGATATCGGCTGGCTCAACGGGGCCAACGGCAACATCAACGCCGAAAGATCCCTCGAGATCCACCGCTCCCTCTCCAAATTCTTCTCGCAGCCGCGCTACAAAAATATCATCGCCTTCTACGGCCTCGTCAACGAGCCCAAAATGACGGCCCTAAAACCAACCGACGTCTACGCCTGGACCGAGAAAGCATACGCCATCGTCCGCCAAAACGGCATCACTTGCCCCATCGTCTTCGGCGACGGCTTCCTGGGTCTCGAGAACTGGAAGGGGCAGCTGCAGGGCCATGAGGGGCTGGTGCTCGATGTCCACCAGTACGTGATTTTCAACGTGGGACAGATCGTCTATACTAAAGAGGCGAAAGTCAAGTACGCCTGCACGGGCTGGACGGGGCAGGCGGAGCAGAGCATGGACGTTAGCACGGGGTTTGGACCTACGCTCTTCGCTGAGTGGTCGCAAGCTGACACCGATTGCGCCACGTACCTGAACAACGTCGGCTGGGGAAATCGCTGGGAAGGGACGTACGACACAGGGAACCCCCTAACGCGTGTTCTCTCAGCAACATGCCCCACCAACAACAGTGGGCCAACATGCTCCTGCACAACCGCGAACGCGGATCCGAACCAGTATTCCGACGGGTACAAGCAGTTCCTGCAGATGTTTGCGGAGGCGCAGATGGATAGTTTTGAGCACGGGTGGGGCTGGTTCTACTGGACGTGGCAGACGGAGACGGCGACGCAGTGGAGTTATAAGAGGGGTCTTGCGGCGGGGATATTGCCAGCGAAGGCGTATGCACCGGAGTTTAATTGTCAGAAGACGATTCCGGATTTTACGGGCGTGCCGGAGAATTATTGAGGGGGTGATGTGGTGGGATGTATACTTGGATGACTGTTGTGTATATGTGGGAAGGCGTTTTTTGGAGGAGAATTTGGAGGAGCATTTTGGAAGAGCGTTTAGAGGCACCGCCGGGTGGGGTTTGGCGATATTGGCGATTTGGGGGGAGTCCAGCATAGCGAGCATATATTTTGGATTTGGCTTGGTATAATCGTATAATGTTTCTCTTGAAATGATATGTATTGTGGTATCCGATATTTCCTCCGTAAATATACACTATGTTTGTCTTCTAAAGTTTCGAGGTCGTATATTCAAACACACCCACCGCTTCTACCAAAAACCCAACCACTCACGATCGCTGGCTCTCAGTTCTCACCACCAACTTTTCCCATTAAGCCGTGGCCTCCCACAACCTATTCATCTTCACCGCACCCACAAAGCTTCCCAACAACCCAACCGTCAGGGGGCTAATAATCCCCCCCTCCAAACTCCAATGGATCGTCAACGGCGCATATCCCGAATTAATCCACACCTCCCTCTTCCACGCTAAATCTTTGACAGCCTCGTCACTCTTCTCCCCCAACGCCTTCCTCTTCCTAACCTGCCTCTCCCTCGCTAACCTCACGAACTCCAACGCCGTATGCGCAGCCCAACACCTACTACTCCATATCCACGCCTTCCCCTGATTTTCCGGCGTCCACCCAAGCACCCCCTTCGAGCTCAGGTACGCCCCGTTCTCCAGGACCTGGTAGATGGTATTCACCAGCACTTGTGCATTCACAATATGGCGCTCCACCGGATCAGCGGACGGTGTGAGAACCGCGCTCTTCCCCCACTGCCACATCCCGAACAGCCCGAAGAGGCGCGCGAACATGCGCACATCGGAGCAGAGCGCGTAGAGGGCTGCGAGGCGGCGGGCGGCGAGGGTGTGCTTTGGGGAAGGGGCGGACAGGCGGGTGAGGAGCGAGGAGAGGGCGAGGGAGGAGTAGCCGAGGGTGAGGAGGGTGGCATCGGTGCCGGAGGGGGTGGAGATGATGCGGCTGAAGTGGGTGAGGAGGCGGTCGGTTTTGGTGAGGTAGAGGGGGAGCCAGGATTGGAGGGTTTTGACGGAGGCGGGGGAGGAGGGCGAGGGCTTTGCGAGGGGGAGGGAGGCGGGGGGGGAGACGGTGGGGGAGGTGGTGGTGATGGGCGCGGAGACGGCGATGGGCTCTGGGATGGTCTCAGGGACGCTGGCGAGCTCTTTGGTGGTCGTGGGCTCTGAGGACTCTAAGATAGCCGTGGGCTCGGTGATTATGGCGGGCTCCGGGATCGCAATGGGCGTCGTGTCAAGTTGAATGTCGGCCATTTTGAATATGAGACTGGATAGATCGCTGGAAATATAGGCGCCCTGTAAAAGAGAGATGACGATGAGTGCGCCTGTTATTTAAGAGTGTATTGACAGATTAGGGGTTTTGGAGGCTAGAAAAATATAGTTTTTACATGTAGTTCGGTGGAGTCCCATTTCCGATAACAGGAGCTTCTGCCGAGGTTGACTTGTATCAGTGGGAGGGTTGTGGTCACGTGAGTATTTGTTTACGTATTACCCCCCCCCGAGTAACTTGTTGTTTAGAGCAAAGGGTTAAAGCGCGGCATAATTTGGGCGTCTTCCTGGTATATAATACCTTATTAGTATCAAAATTCATGCATAGTAGCCAGGGACAAGGGGAACCTGGCTATTAAAATCAACGCTGCAATCAAAACAAGAGCCATTTGGATCTATCATTTTTGCATTTCTTATTTAGATTAAATGTCTCCATGTATCCTCGGATATGCTGGTCTTCCAAAAAGCACCCAAACATTCCAAAACAAGATTAACAAGACAAAATAACAAGCCAATGGATATCGTATCAACACGTCCGTCCCACCCATCCTACTCCCGCCTAGTAGACAGGGTTCTGGCCACCGAGACCACCGGACATCGATGGCGCTCCGCCCATTCCGGGCCTTGGGTAGTCGTCCGGCCTTCCGCCGCCAGACTCGTAGTGCGCCTTCCTCAGAGCCTGGAGACGCTTCTTCTTGGTCTTGGCGTTGATGTAGGTGCCGATGAGGAAGCCGACGATGTTGAAGAAGGGGACCCAGGTCTCCTGGGGGAGGAACTGCTGCGCGAAGGCGAGCGTGATGGGGGAGGTCACCCAGGATACCTTCATGACGGGCATGAATCCGGCCTTCCAGGTCGAGTGGATCGCGTGGATGTTGCGCGCACCGTTGATGATGGCCATTGAGGTCAGGTAGATACTGTTCTGGATTGGCGCAATCTGTAATGGAACTGTTAGCTGTGGTCTGGCGGCAGGGTTCGTATGCGATGACTTACGAATAAGTTGCTGAACAGGATCTGCAGGATCTTCGCCTTCAAGCTCGTGCGGTTGGCGAAGATCTTCTGGAGGATGCTGACGAGGACGTGGCCGACGGGGGCCATGATGAAGGCGCCGTTCGCTGCCATCAGCGGCACCTTCGAGGTGAAGTAGTGTCCATGCTTGCTCCTGTCCTTTGCGATGTACGCCGCCAACAGTTCTTGTAGAGCACCGAGGGACCCCGATGTCAACATCTTGGTTCGGAGAGGGTTCTTCTGGAGCTGCGTGAGGTACGCCTGGACACCGTGTCAGTCAATTGGATGCGCAATTCGAGATTGGGAAGCCTTACGGCGAGGTAGCCATTGGCGACTTTGCCAGCAGCCGACGTGGCGACCTGGTTCGCGGCGCCGACGGTCGTCTTGACGGTGTCCTTTTCGAACTTGACCGACATCGTGATGGAAATTGGTATGAGGTAGGTTGTGTGTATCTGTGGATGTGGGACGAGGTGTCAGTTATGAGGTCAAGTCGAGCGGCCAGATCGGGGATGCTCCCCCAGTTTGTTTACACTTGTACTAAGTGGGCCGAGGTAGTCGAAGGGTTCTCCGCATCTCGAATTATGGGGAGTTTGTTTCGGAGTGAGCTGCAGGGTAATTCTAGACTTACCTAAGCTTGGATATGATTTTCTTTCACGTTTATCGACGTGTTGGCTAGAAAAATGGAAGCTCAGTCCAGTAGGAACGATGATGAGTTGGGCGGTAGATTCTTGTGAGTTGGCGATGGGTAGGTACAGTACGATCGACACCTCACCTACAGTTGGTAGTGCGTACACAAAAGGGATCACCCCAACAACCTGGTTGTCGCCGCTGTTGGCCATCAGCTGCTTACAGGAGTCGAGCCTATCGGAGACATCGGAAAGCGCCGCAATTTCTTCACCACCAGGCGAAGATGAGAAGTGGCTGGCCGAGGCTGAGGCTGAGGCTGAGGCGACGACGACAACAAAAATAACAACACAAACAAACAAACAGTTTAAATCGGCAACAAACGGCGTCAAACACGCAAACACACAAACATTCACAAAGCGGAAAATACCATTTGGACTGCTGCCTTGTATATGTACGGGGATGCATCGAATTGGAATTATGGAATTATACGTGCGCCGAATGTTGAGCCCTACCTAGAGTTAGTACCGCATATATGACACTTGCTAGACAGGAAATACCTAGACTCACAGACATGTAAGGCTTTATATACTTCTCTTTTTCTAGTAACAGTCTACCTATCATTGTATTTTGAAGCATTTGAATTATAGAACACAACTGCTGTATTATGTTGAAGAATATCTGTAGGATCCGTGGCAGTAGGTAGAGAATATAAGCTGAAAATACAGTCATGAAGCAGTAGGGCCCGAAGTGATAATTTTGTAATGCATATTCTTATAATTGAAGCTATTCTAACTACTATATTATACTGTTACGGGCTACGGGCTCTATTCCTGTGCCTATTCATGGCTCGAATCCTAAAACCCTCCTAGCTTCAGTCCGTTCCCTAGTGTCATACTGACATTCGTTGCACTCAGTTTGCTATCAAACTCAAGAGCAAACTTAGAAATCTCCTCCTCAAACCTACAAGTCACTATACATATTTTGGCTTGTCACACCAACAACAAGAGCAATACTACTCAATGATTGCTACAACCCTCTATGATTCATTACATGTCATTGCTCCTTAGTTACTGGGCCGATATGACCACATAGCATATCTCTACAACCCTCTATGATTCATTACATGACATCACTCCTTACAACCCTCTATGATTCATTACACGTCATCGCTCCTTAGTTACCCACAAGATTGGTTAAGTTACGACATAATCTGTCTATAGGGGTACTCTGACCTTGGACCTCCTTTCACTTCCTATAGGCTAGGAACCTAGGAGATGGTTCTATGGGATTCTCTTACGTCGACTACAGTTACCAAGCCTGGTTAGTCATGGAAAGTCTTGGAAAATGAGAGAACTACACTCCTTTAGCATAAATAGGATTGCCCTTTCTGTAATGGTGGGTGCACCAGATGTGAGAATCTAGCCACCCAAGGAAGGGATGATTTTACTAAGACAACACACTGTCTTAGGAAACAGAGCCAAAGGGTCATAGCTTAGACTATTCCACAACGCAGCAATCAGGTGTATGATGTGGTGAAGTGGTTTAGACAAGTTGCAACAAATGTTGAGTCTGAGAACTCAGGGGTAAGTCAGAGGTTAGCACCTCACTGACTTTTCAAAAACAGAGAATAACAAGATGAATGCTTGGAAGCTTGGAAAAGACGTAGAAGTATGTGCTAGTCGATTTACTGTATTGTCTGCTTGCCCTTTCTTAAGGAAAGGGCAATCCTATTTATGCCAAAGGAGTGTAGTTCTCTCATTTTCCATGACTTTCCATGACTAACCAGGCTTGGTAAATGTATTAGAAATCAAGTGCGACCCACAACTAGCTTGCTAATCATGTAGTGAACGTAAGAGAATCCCATAGAACCATCTCTTGGGTTCCTAGCCTATAGGAAGTGAAAAGGAGGTCCAAGGTCAGAGTACCTATAGATAAATTATGTCATAACTTAACCAATCTTGTGGGTAACTAAGGAGCGATGACGTGTAATGAATCATAGAGGGTTGTAGAAGCTTCTAGAGCTATCGTTCATGTTTCTAGGCCTCTAGTTGGTAGAGATATGCCATGTGGTAGTATTGGCCCACCCCCTTAAGGAGGAGATTTTCTTAATAACTTGTTCAATGAGTGTCCAAATGATATGCCGTGATGTATGTAGCATAAACAGATGTAGTAGAAGAGTTTGCAGCAATCGTTGAGTAGTATTGCTTCTGTTGTTGGTGTGATAAGCCAAGATATGTATGTTGACTTGTAGGTTTGAGGAGGAGATTTCTAAGTTTGCTCTTGAGTTTGATAGCAAACTGAGTGCAACGAATGTCAGTATGACATGGTGCACCCACCATTACACTAACCTCTGACTTATCCCTTAGTTCTCAGACTCAACATTTGTTACAACTTGTCTAAACCACTCCACTACATCATACACCTGATTGCTGCATTGTGGAATAGTCTAAGCTACGACCCTTTGGCTCTGTTTCCTAAGACAGTGTGTTGTCTTAGTAAAATCATCCCTTCCTTGGGTGGCTAGATTCTCACATCTGGTGCACCCACCATTACACACTGATTGTGTCTAGAGTATCGGAGCTACAGGTGGCTTCCATGATCGAATAGGCCTAGGCATTGCCCGTAAACCATATGATAAAGGGCTCTGATTTATTGCTAATGCCTAGTTCTTCGTTTAGATTGGCCACTATAGGCTTTACCCCTTTTTCTACACTAAGAGCGTATTTGATGATGCCTGCCTAGGCTAGTGTCTATTCAATTTGTCGCTTCTATGATAGGAAGTTGGCGCTGCCTGAGCTTCTTATGGCTCTTCAGTGTAGTAAGCAGATGCTCTGTCGTCATTCTAGGCTAACGATGCTGCTGGTGACGATGGTTTGGAAGCTTCGATGCTTCAATTGATCGATATTTTGGTTATAAGATCTCTGCGCTGATCCCGGGCTCATAACTCATTGAAGAATATCCGTAGGATCCGTGGCAGTAGTAGAGAATATAAACCGAAAATACAGTCATGAAGCAGTAGGGCCCGAAGTGATAATTTTGTAATGCATATTCTTATAATTGAAGCTATTCTAACTACTATATATACTTTTTACGGGCTACAGGCTCTATTCCTGTGCCTATTCGTGGCTCGGATCCTGAAACCCTCCTGGCTTCGGTCCGTTCCCTAGAGCTTCAGAATCGAAGCTTTTAGGATCGGAAGATCCAGTATCCGGAGGATCACGAAACTGACTGACACAGTTTCGGTATCAGGGCCCTCATCCCTGTTTCCGGACCGAGGATTCAACATATTATATTACATCTTGAGTCAGTGCTCAGTGCTCATTTCCCCTTACGTCCTGCCGGTTTCCCTTCTCTATTAGCCCTCATTATTAGGCTACAGCTCGATAGTTCATATTTGAATGAGCCATATGTATTTATGTCTGTGACATGCTCAATCGTGGCATCGGTCAATTTCAAAATATGTAGTATCATACGAATCCATCTTAACCAGACCCATCGTTCTTCATAGCCTTGTGCCCTCCATATTTTCTATGTGATATTGAAGTTTATGCTCAGTTCCCCGTGTCGAGAATCGACACGTTGATAACTGGCGTGGAAAACTGTCCTGTTGTCAGTTCTTAAGCTGCCAAAACTCCACGGCAGACACTGGGAATACCTTCACTTAAAATCCCCACTAGGCGAACACGAGAGGTAAACAGAAACCTCTCTTCACCCCACAACCCATCGCGGCAGAAAAACTCCACAAACAAACAGCAAACCTACCCACAACTTCCCACATCAAGAATGGTTAGAGGAATCCCACAATATGCCTCCAAACGAACTTCAGATTAAACCCGAGACCCCTGCTGCAAACAACAGCCCAGCACAAACAGCAAGCAGGTCGCGAGAGATGATGTGTACGCACATCACCATGGTCAGGATGTACTCTGTTGACATGCGGTGCTCCCTGTGTCTCCATCCTGGGTCTTTTGGGTGGGTATACAGGTGTTCCCAAGACCGTGAACTCATGATTGAGAATGATTACAATGAGAAGGGTGTGGTGAGTTGTTCTGGAAACTGCTAACAATCTTGGCACTGCTCTAACAATAAAATCTTCTAGAATGGCCTTGATAACCTCTTTGATTCTTTCACGGTTCCAGCAGAACCTAAGAGGAGGAGTGCAGCAGCGCGTGCACGTCCGGTATCTTTCCTTGAAGAGATGGGCCCAGGACAGCTCCAGACATATAGCCCGCAGCAGCTCAGCATACTTCTCGACCAGAGAACACACGTGAGTTCCATAATTTCTTCCGATCTTGGGAAATCCACGTTCTATCCAGTGCTTCCAGTTCACACACCTTTGAATCAACGGCTAACCTCAGAACAGATCCTCGACGTCGCAAAGCGCCACAGCAGAGACCTCGAGATATACCGACACCGTGAACAATCCGTCCTCAACCCCTACTCAATCCTCGGCGACGCATCCGATGAAACCAAGCTCTGGGTCCCAAAACCAAATGAGGAGTGCCAGTTCAAAGTCTGCCACAGGTGCCGGCAAGCATGCATGGAACGTTCTTTTCTCAGCCTGGACGCCATCGCCAACAATGAGATCCCAATGACAGCCGTCTCTGGATTCGGCTTCAATATTCTGGGGAAGAGACCTGTAGTTCCACGCAAGTGCGCTATCAACTACGGTCTTAGACCAGATCCACGACCACAGATGGTATTTAGGCCAGTGTCGAAGGGAAAAGCTCTAGGAATTAACATCGCCAAGACTCCCCCTGAGCAGCTCCCCGAGCAAGTTTCGACTCAACTAAGCCCTTTTGATGATGAACCGGGCGCCGATACTACATTCGGGCAGTCATCTAACGCATACGATTCCTCTGCCATGGCTAGAAGTCTCAATCTCGAATCTGACATTGAAATCACTCCCATCGAACCAGACGAAAGATATGCGCTCCGACGAGTTCTCCATGTCAACATGATGCTTGCAACAGAGACTGCCAAAGCTGACGCAGCGGAGGGAAGTAGTCTCCTATCCCACATCCGCGCAGCTGATACGCCACCCAACTCTCCTCGCCTCCGCGCAGCGAAAATGGACGATAAGCATGGGAAGCGCCCTGCCGTGCTTCATGGTAGAAGGTATGATTTCTTCGCCTGGTTGTCTAATATAGCAAACCGAGGCTAACTCCTCACAGCGACAAGTCTCTCCATACCAACACCGAACTCCGTCATAAGTTTAATCTTGATGACGTGGAAGGTGAACCGGAGGATGATATAACGTATATTCTGCATAAGAGACGCTTTTACCTTGCAGCTGATGCTCCTTCGGACTCGGAATCGGAGGAAGATGGGAAGCCTACTTCGGAATTTGCGACTGCGGTGGGAACTGGAAGATAGGGGTGCCAAGGACCCGACTACTAAGCCGGTGGGTGTGGACAACAAGGCTGATGTCACCAGGGGGGCGGTGGGGATGCAGCTTTCCGATGTGGTCACGCAGCTATAAGCTGAATAGTTGCTCCTGGGCTTGGAAATCTGCTGGTCGATAGGGTCATCTGAATTTTCTTTCTTGTCCTTCGCTCGCGGATGATACCCTAGAATGAGTCGGCTAGGACTCTTTATGTACTGTACGCAATATCGCACCAGCTGGTCCCGAAATCGTGGTTAGATCGATGGCTACTGATCGATGGCTACAAAAACAACATGCAAAACTATCTCAGTCCTACAATTGCCCCTGTGACATCTTTTACTTCCTTGACTCTAAGCTAGTGACTACCTTAGCAGTAGCAATCATTCCCTTTAAGAACCCAGACGCTGCTTTGTACAAACTGTGTGAAATGTGAGTGTTGGACTTGGGGAACAATTCTGCCGGCAGAACCGACTTACCGCCTCCCCACTGGCTTCACACGAACAGCCACACACGTAAACGTGCTTGCCTGGACCAAACACCCACCACCCACCTATACCTCCAACCTCCAAAACCTCCCACCCATAACTCCAAACCCTCCCATCAATTCTCATCCCACCCAAAGCGCCATCTCATCTCCATCCTCCCCGCCATCACCATGGCGTCCTACGAAGGTCCGTCCCTCCCCATTCCCCCTCCATTCCCAATTACCCCACTAACACCTACCCCCGCGCAGTCGAACACAACATCCAGCCCTCCTTCACCTCCACCACCACCTCCCCCCGCCGCCCCGATATGTCCACCTTCTTCGCCAAGCTCTCCCAAATCAATCTCGACCCCGCCACCCACAACAACCCCCACGCGCAGCCCACCCCCGTCGACATGCGCGCGACCTTCTCCCTCCTCGCCGACTCCTACTACCAAATCCGGTCCACCGCCTCCGGTCCCCCCGCCGAGCTTCTCTCCTCCTTGATCAGCGAGTTAGAAACCAACGCAGACAGTCCGCCGAAGGAGGTGGAGGGGTTGAGTCAGACGTTCTTGGACAGCTTGGAGAGGGTGGATAGGAAGGAGTTGGGGGAGGGGGGTTGTCCGATTTGTGGAGAGAGGTTTAGGGATGATGAGTACCCGCTGGTGGTGCAGTTGCCATGTCATCCGGGGCATTGGTTTGATCTCGAGTGTGTGGGGCCGTGGTTGAGGTTGAAGGGGACGTGTCCGTTGGATCGGAAGGCGGTGGGGGAGAGGAAGAAGGTGGTGGTTGTGGATGATAGTGAGGAGGAGGATTATGATGATATGATTGCCTAGTTGGGGAAATGAGATTTTGATACCAGATTGGGGGAGGTGGAGTGAAGTGGGGTTGGCGTGGGATGGAGTTAGGGATCTGATACAACAATACAAGAAATTGTATCTCTCGTTTATAAGGGGCTCATATATTTCATTTTACGCTGGCTATATGGCGAGTGAAACATAGATCCACTCATATAACCCCTCCTAAAAATAGTCCCCATCTACCCCTCAAACCCCCTCTCACCAGCACAGCAATCCCCATCTCTTTCACCACAGGAACTTACTTCTTCGCCGGCCGCGTCGGAAACATCCCCGCCCACCCCCCATCCGAATTATCATGTCCCCCATCCTCCCCCCAATACGCCGCCGGCCCAGCAACCGCATCCCAATTCGCCCCCGCATCAACCGTCATCGACGTCCATGCCAAAATCCCATCCTCAATCCTCCCCCCAGTAACACATCAAAAAACGGATCTACCTGCTCCGTCTTGCTGGGTCCAATCCACACATCCTCCTTATTCGTCGTCGGTGGGAGTAAATTCGTGTTACATGGCTCCGCAGCCTCGACGACAGCGCGGAGCGAGGCGTCGAAGTAGAGTTGTCCGATGTGCGAGACGTGGCCGCCGGTGTAGGTGCCGTTGGGGAGGAGGGTGCCGCTGGTTGGTAAGGACATGTTGGTCCAGTAGTGGCCCGGGTAAATAGTCGTAATTGCACGACACCATCTGCGTCAGTCTGCTGGACGCCGCGGAGGAAAGTGGTGTTGAGCCCTGAATACTCGGTCGGGTCGCTGAACGAGACGGACCGCAACCGTGCGTTATTACAACCAGGATTAAGCTTTTAGCCATTCAGCCTCGATGTTAATGCCGATGCAAGCGCTGGGAGCCCCGGATTTCAATTGGCTTTATATATGGAAGAAGTTCGGCGACAGAGTTGATGATGACTGCCTGTATGCGTGCTTGCTCCTTTACATGACACGTGCTATACAAGTCGGAGATTGCTGTATATTACAACTCATATGAATGGCTAAAGCTGAACTCCGCAGCTTCGCTGCTTCTTATAACCTCGATCTTGAAATGGCTTGCCCCGCAATCTGGCCTGCTGTCAGATGGGCCCCTCGTTCGTGAGATGGATATATAAAGCGAGCTTTTGGCCAAGCTGTCGGTCCCCTCTTCCCCCCCCCCTACGCTCCAAACCGTCGAAGCTCCACCTTATCATACCTTCTCTTAAATTCAAGCCTCAAAATGTTATCCTCTCGGGATTGGCCTCGGCCTTGGTGGCGGCTACATACTTCATTAGCGCTCTCGCCCATCCAGACCATAAAGACCCGGTTCTCCTCCGCCGCGCCCTCGGCGAACAGGCGTTTCACACCAAAAATGGAGCACGGTCTCTTCAGGCCTGCTCCGGATCAGCGGCGTCCATAGAGCTACAGAAACAAGCTGCCCTGCGCCGAGCAGCCACTGCACAGCGCCTGCGCGAGGAACGCGGCCTTACCGGTAGTACGCCCGCTCTTCCCCCTCTTAATTACACAACTAACAAACCCAGCGCGCATGCGCCACCGCCGTGACTTAGTAGACGTCGAGAAATTAATGCAAGTCTCCCACGACCGCACCTCCTCCCACGACTTCACCCCCTCCACCCCCCCCCTCCGAAGTCTTCGGCACCACCTCGCCCTGCATCCTCACCCCCAAAGGCGCCACGGGCCCCTACTTCATCGCGCAAGAGCTCCTCCGCACCAACATCGCCGAGGACCAACCCGGCGTCCCCATCTACCTCGACTGGCAGTTCATCGACGTCTCCACCTGTGGCCCCGCCGACCTAATCGTCGACACCTGGTCCGCCAACTCCACAAAGATCTACGTGAAATAATCCTTTGCCTGGAAAATAATGCACGAGAGGATTGAGGCGGTAAGCGTTGGATTTGATTAATTGCACGCCACGTGGGCACCACTCAGCTATCCCCAATACCGAAGTACGCATCGTCGAACTTCTGGTTCTCCAGCCCCGTCGTTTCGTCGCCACCTTCGAAATCCAAGCTGTCGAGTAGATCGTCGAAATTCGTCTCGTTCCCGCCTATCCCCATAGCCAGATCGAGATCCGCGCCGCTCATCCCGACACCATCTTCCCCATCTAGGTTAATGATTTCACCGTCTCCGCCTGCGTTCCCACCGCTATTTGCTGTATCGAGCATGTTGATGTCCGCGCCCTCCTCGGGCACCTGGTTGGCGTAGCTCTCTAGGCCTTGTAGCATCGAGCTCCCATCATCATTGCCGAAGGGTTGGTCGCAGGCTTCCCCGAAGGTCGATAGGTCTATGTGGCCGTCGTTTGCCATACTGTATTCTTGGTCTTGATTCTCTCCTCCCGCAGCATTATCCGTACCGAAATCAAAGTCGTCAAAGTTGAGATCAGGGTGGTCGTCGTGTGCGCTCTTCGGGCCGAATAGGGACTCGTAAGGCATGTCGTCATTGGTATCAAGCGTGTCCAGTGGTCCCAGCTCTTTAGTCGGGGCATCTTGAAGCTTATCAACTTGCTGGACGTCTGCGGCTGATGCTTCTGGTTGTTCGATGCTTTGTTTGACCTCGTCCTGTGGCTTTTCAGAGGTTTGCACAAGATCTTCTTTTGGTTGCTCCTCAAACAGGTCCAAAGTATCCAATGCCTCCTGCTTTGTCAGGTCGCCCGCCTGCACAGCGGTACCCGACGGCTCGGGCTTCACTAGCTGGTCGCCCCCTTGTCCCAAGGCGTCGGGCGCCTCTTCCATCTTAATATGTGCCGGTTGCTCCAAAAGCCCCCCATCACGCGTAGCCATCCCAGGCTGTGCATCATCAACCGTCTCCATCCCCATATCAACCGCCACACCCTCATTCGGTTTCGCAACCGGATTCCTCAACTCCTCCTCCCTCCTCCTCACCTCCCTCAAGTCCCTCGCAATAACCGCCTTAGCCCTGACCTATTCGCATCAAATCAGTACATCCCCCCCAAAAAGCACCCCCTATCCCACAATCGGAACAGTTCTTACAATATCACTCTCTAGCTCATCTAGCGCGCCATGGAAGCTTGTGATCGCCTTGGGCATGTACATCTGCAGCCTATCGTTGTCGTGGGAGATGGTCTTGGCGCCCTTCATGTTGGCGGAGCGCAGGGCTTTGCCGGTTTCGATGAGCTGGTTGGGGGGGTTAGTATTAAACTGTGTCGACGAAGATGGGGTTGGGGGGAGGTGGGGGGGGCGCACAATGGTGTTTATTAGATTCTGCAGGGTGTCGAGGTGCTGTTGCTGTTTGGATTGAAGCTTGGCTGGCTGCGGACCGGGTCTTGGTGCGGACATGGTGATGATATGAGATGCTGGTGGATAGAGATAAATATGTTCAGTGTGTTTGAGGTAACTTGTAGAGCTCCGACGCTGAGTGGGTAAGTGGAGACTCACGGCGGTTCGGCGTGGATGACGCTATGTTACCGCGGATAAATAATGGCCCGTCCCGTCATTCTGCCCCGTCCCCGCGTTTTTAATATCAATTCGCCTGGTGGTAAAAACAGTCTCCCTATGGCAGTATTTTACGCGCATCCACGATTACAAGCAGGGTTTCTAGCAACCATTAAGAAGTGGCAGGTTGGTTCACTTAGTTCCCGAAGAAGAACAACTCTTCAATTATCCATAGTCAAGACTATGTGCATTCATTCTCAATCCCTATTCCCACCGCAGCCAGTAGTAACCCTCCCCTCAAATACGTCTCCAATTAAGATCCCGAACAATCTTCCATCCAAAACCATCATTACATGACAGGCGCCAGCGGCGGCGCTACGAAAAAAAAGCCAGGGGGTAGTCGCACGATAGTATAGAGAATTCGGTGAACTCGTCACACGAGAAAAATAAACGAGCATACAAAGGGGCCAAAAATACGCAAATTATATGCCTCATCGTGGAAGTAGAGGTAGGTAGAGTAGAAGAAAGACGGTAGGAAGAAACAAATCCTCCGAATTTCAAGCACATAAAAACATATCCCAGAAAAACGAACACCACATGCTTTTTGTTGAGAGGACGACATGGACGTAAACATGATAACATAGCTTCTGCACCTGCCACAGACGAGAGAGGAGAGGAAAATGGGGCGATTGGGAGAGAGAATGCTATAAGAAGAAACCCTAGGCAAATCATCGCTGTGAGCTATCCAACAAATGGTTCCACTGCCGTTGTCGTCAAGAAGAGACTGAATTAAAAACACAGGGACAGAAGAAGTAAGTGATAACCGAAACCCGCACCTGACGACACACGCCGCCACCCAAAAACATAATCAGGGGAGCAAAGTCAGCGGCTCAGTCGAATTCAGGGCCCGAGCTAGCCTTGGTAGCCACCAAAGCCGGCTTGTCCGAAGCCTTGAGAGGCCGGCGGGCTCCATTGAGCGGTCGGCGTCTGCTGTGCACGGCCGTAACCACCTGCGCTTGGTGGGCCACCGTATCCCATTGGCTGGCCTCCATACCCAGCAGGGGACTGTTGAGGAGGTCCTCCGTAGTTTCCTGGCTGGCCACCATATTGTGCTTGGGACTGTTGGTTAGGCATGGGTCCAGCTGATGGGGGGCCTTGTTGAGGTGGCATTCCACCGTACTGGGGGAAATAGGCGGATGGTGTCCCAGGGTAGGCAGGAGTCTGAGCACTCTGAGGGCTGTAACCGGTTGGGGTTCCCTCAAACCCTGGCTGAGAAGGTGCCTTGTCCTTGCCCCACTATTTTGAAAGTCAGTTTGATTTCTGGACACAGTTATGAATCGACTTACGCTGCACTTCAACGGGCGGCCGTTCACATTATAACCACTCAGCTGGCAAATAGCCATAGCGGCGTTCTCGTGTGTGTCCATCTTAACAAAAGCAAAGCCGCGGTCAGATTGGAAGCGGGTCTCAACAACGTATCCAAAATTCTGGAACAGGGGAACAAGGTCGTTCTGGGTCGTGTATGGCGTAAGGTTGCCAACGTAGACGGTGGTTTGCCACTGGGGAGTTTGCTGGACAATCATATCGTAGCTTTGGACACCGTGGGTTGGGAAGTGGTGGTGGCCGAAAGGTGTAGTTGGAGTAAGTCCAGTAGAAACCATGGATTGCTGCTGGGAGATCGATGGCTGGCCCTTTTGATTCGCCCAGTTACAGCGTATCGCGCGAGATCCGAGCCATTCTCCATCCATTGAGCTGAGAGCCTTTTCAGCATCTTGGCGCTCACGGAAAGCAACAAATCCGTAGCCACGGGACCTTCCGGTCTTCATGTCCCACATCACTCTTGCCTCAGAAACCGATCCGAAAGCACAGAATGCTTGAAGGAGCACCTCATCGTTAACCTCGTTCGAAAGATCGCCAACGAAGATGTGGAAATGGTTCGAGGTGTCCTCCTTATTAGATGTGTTGGACTGGTATGCCCAGTTAACACGAATTTCCTATTCCGGTTAGTCATTAGAATTCACTTGTTCCATGCGATATTGTACATACGGCTTGGTGCACACGTCTGCCATTCAAAGTTTGCATAGCACGCTCTGCTGCTCCAGGATCGTCGTACTCGACAAAGCCATAGTTGAAGCCCTTGGACTGTAGCTGGTTAATGCGATTAGCATGCTGTACGTACAACAAAGGAGTGTGAGATAAGTGTCTCTGGAGTGGGGGCGAGATCTCTATGCCACACACTTGTGCGCATATCCGAGTATCTCATGAATTGACACATATAAAAGGTGATACTGACAGCACCTACATTCTTGTCAGGAATGATTTTGACGTTTTGGACATGTCCGGTCGTTTCAAAGATTTGGCGCAGAACGTCCTCGGTCACGCGAGGATCAAGTCCACCAACGTAGAGGGCACGCTTGTTTGGCTCTGGGGCCGCACGTCGAACGAACCTGCCCTGGCTATCTGGAGACATGATGACCCCGTTTTCGCCCGACATCGGCGAGGTTATAGCTGTTGGAATGGGATTCGTGTTCTGGGGGATGATGACAGGTGGGAGCGGTAGAGGAGGCATGTGCGGGTTGCCCATGCCATTCTGGCCGTTCTCGTAGCCTGGAGCACCGGCAGTTCCAGGTGGAGGTGGGAGCTGCGTCCCGGGCGGAGGAGGGGCTTGGTCAGACATCGTCTGTGGGTTTTGAAGTATTACTGTGCTTTTTTGCTGCAAAAGTGACTGCGCAACTCGAGCCTTTGTTCGAAGCGAAGAATCCGACGAGTATGAAACTACGTAGGAGTCTAAAATCGAGATGTACTTAGGATCATATAGGATGAATCGCGTGGCAGGTCCCCAACAGTATTACGAATCGACTTGGAAGGACTCGAAATGATTCGAAGGAATCGGATCGCGAAATGAGTTTGATTGAAAAGGCAAGTCGGAGAGAATCGACGACAGGAGTTTCAAGCGATGAACTGAAGAAAGTGTGAGTTTTTCGGGCTGAGAGAAAGCCTCGATGACAGCGAGGCGCGCGCAAAGACGGGCTTCTGTTATACCTTTCGCGACTGAACAAATCGAAAGACGTGGAAGGAAGATCAATGCGACGAAACCGACGACGACGGGTTATGACGGAACCCGTACAAGGGAAGAAACACAAGCAGAAAGGAGAAGATATGGGAGAAGGAAGAGATGAGAGAAGTAGAAAACCACCGCCTCAAATCTCAAAACTCTCACACGGCCTTGGGGTCGATAGAGAGATGTTTTTGGTTTTTTGAGATGGGGTGAAGGAGGGATCGAGGACAAAAGGTGGGGAGGTAGGTGGGAGGTGTTGGAAAGGGAGGGAGGACCAAAGACGGCAGTGGGATGAACGGACACCCCTAAATATGCACACCCCGACGTCGACAGGTTACGGCAGCTACTCGAGTACTGCAAGCCCTAAGCTGAATCGGTCGCCGTAGCTGCGGTGGATGGGGATGTATGTGATGGGGACGGCGGGCGAGGTCAAAAGACACGCACGGTCGGGGGTGCGCCGAGTACAATTAGCCGATTAGCCAATTAGCGTAGGTTTCACCGAAGCCGAAGCGAAGGGACGAAAGGGACGTACCGTACGCCGTACTACCCGAGTATGTGCGGCCAAGTGCGGCTGTGGGGGTCTGTTTTGTCTTGAACAAGAAAAAATAACGAGGGGGTCTTGTTTGTCCTGTTGGTAATAGTTAATTCTTGTGGGTATGTTCTTTATGAGCTGTCCTTTTATATAACATATGAGATGAGATACAAGAACAGCCGAGACACATGGAGATGGTACGAGTACTTCCGTCTGTTCTGTTTGTGCCTGAAAACCTCACCCAAGCCCAATTGGCTGGTTGTACGGAGTACAGGCGTGCGAGATGTGATAAGGTGGGCTGACTGTGCATGAAGCTCCTCCTACTCGAGCTGCGTAACTCGGAGAGTATGTAGAGTATGTAGAGTAGAATATAACATCTATGTAGTCTCATCTGATCCTTAAAAACATACGGAGTAAACATGCAATAAATCCTCCCGAATGGTCACTTCACTTCCCTCTTGACAAAATAAATCGATCCCCATGTCACGTGCCATCGCTCTACATGGTCCGTGCTGCTCACCTCACCACCCACTTTGAAATGCCCTAGCGGGTCGCGCCAAACCGCGTCAACTCCCAGGTCGGAAGGTACGTACTGCGTCAAACCGCGTCAACTCCAGGTCGGAAGGTACGTACTGCGTCAAACCGCGTCAGAAGGTACGTACTGCAATCGCAGGGAAACAAGAGAACGACTCCACGAACAAACAGCAACTATGAGCCACTAGCCTCCCTTTCACCTGCATGCACCGGGCAAAAGCATTACTGAATAGCCCAAAAAGTCGATTGCATGATATCTGCTCGACGACGCTTTTCGGCATTCTCCACAGCAACCCCTCTCCTGCGTGCGAGTTGCTGGAAGGCGCCCCTCCACAGCCCGCAGCCCCGTCTGATCCTCGTCCCGAATTTGGATGCATACGTCTCATACAGTCGAACAGCTGGTTACTCCAGCATTGCCGACGCAATGTTAGGGAGGGCTGTGCAGACTTTCCAGGCGCCGCCGCCGCGGAAGGAAGCATTGGCGGCGGCAGAAACGGCTAGGGGAGCTCAGTCTCCCGGGTCGTCTCAGGGCGTGGATGATATGTTGAAGAATGGGACGAAGAATAATAACAGGAAGAGCATTAGTGGGTGGGCGAGACCGGTGTCCCCGAGCTCGTCTGTGCTGTCGAGTGCCCCGTTGTCGGTGTTTTCGAGGAAGAACTCGGCTTCTGCGTTTTCGAGACCGACTACAGCGGGTACTGTCACATCGACTGCTTATGCGGATACATCGTCTGTGAAAAGGGGGGTTTCTGCGGGCCCAGGCAGACAAGGTTTTGTTGGGGCTAAGGTATGGAGGTCGAGCTCAAGTTTAAAGGAAGGCATGAATAACGAGAAGGCCAGGTCGTAACACAAGCAGCAGTTATTATCAATTCTAGCACAGACATTGTCGACTTAACACAAGAAGCTCCAAGCAAATCACACGCCCCACAACCTGTCGAATTTGACTTCGACGATTTTGACGACGACAGCGACTTGGATCTAGAAGTGGAGTATCCACTAGCATTACCACCCTTGAGTGCGCCGCCTAGACAACTATTGGCCTCAATGTCCCCGAATAATACTAACTTCCCAGCGTCAATGCCTCCACCGAAGTTGTCAGCAACTCCTCAACACCTCGCCAATCCAAGTAGTGGTCCTATACCTTGGTCCTCATCTCCGCAAGCACATATGGGGCTGCCTCCAGGGGCCGGGGCGAAACGATCGAGTTTCCAAGAGCCAGAACAACAGATTACAAACCTGATTTCATCCGAACCGTCGATTGATGCGAACCCTCGACCGGCAAAGCGGAGGACAACGCCATGGGCACAGCGGGCGGCGGAGGAGAAGGAGGCGCAACCACAACAGAGAGAACAGGCAGCTAGATGTACCCAATGCTTTAAGTGCCAGGGATATGGCCATTATTCTGGGAGTTGTACCAGAGAACACCCCAAAGACAACGCAATTCAACATGACGAAGATAGCTTTACCCCACTGCCAAAAGAAAAATCATTACCCTGGAATACCACTGCAAGCGCTATCAGGGACAAACGTGGGGCTTTCAGAGAGCACCAGAAGACGCTGAAAATGAAGAGGGAGCATACATCTATAACGGAAATGTTCAAGACCAAACCAAAAGCATCGACCAAGGAGGAGAAGGGGGCTAATATATTCCTCAGCTCTGAGCAGAGCAACGTCTTGGAACTCGTCACCCAACAGAAGAAGAGCGTATTCTTCACGGGTTCTGCCGGAACGGGAAAGTCTGTGCTGATGCGAGCCATTATTGCGGAGTTGCGCAAGGTATATAAGAAGGAGCCTGATAGGGTTGCTGTCACTGCGTCTACTGGTTTGGCTGCTTGCAATATTGGCGGTGTTACATTGCATAGCTTCGGTGGGATTGGGCTTGGGAAGGAATCTGTGCCTGACTTGGTGAAGAAGATTATGAGGAACCAGAAGGCGAAGAACCGGTGGTTGAGGACCAAGGTTCTGGTCATCGATGAAGTTTCCATGGTCGATGGGGAGCTATTTGATAAGCTGGAGGGCATTGCTAGGTTCATCAGGAAGAACGGAAGGCCGTTTGGTGGAATTCAACTGGTCGTCACGGGAGATTTCTTCCAGTTGCCGCCGGTGCCGGATTATGGCAAGCAGGTTAAATTTGCATTCGATGCAGATAGCTGGTCGACCTCGATCCATCACACTATTGGTTTGACGGAGGTTTTCAGACAACGCGACCCAGGTAGGTCGAGTCGACGTTCATTTATAAGGGTATTGATAACTAACCGTTGACGTAGTATTCGCCAATATGCTCAATGAGATGCGATTGGGCAAGATTAGCGATGCGACCATGAAGGCTTTCAGGAAGCTAGATAGGCCTCTGGAGGCCTCTGGCCTTGATGCAACCGAGTTGTGAGTTCTGGCACCACTGAGGCTTGCTTCGAATCTTAGCTAATCCGAACAACAGATTCCCAACCAGAAACGAAGTCGACAACTCCAACTTCATGAAGATGCGCCAACTCCAAGGCGCCGGCAAAATCTACCTCTCCGAAGACAGCGGCAGCGTCCGCGACCCGCAACAACTCGAGCGCCTCCTCCAGAACTTCATGGCCCCGAAGAAGCTCGAGCTCAAGAAGCACGCCCAGGTCATGCTGATCAAGAACATGGACGATAACCTCGTCAACGGCTCCATCGGCAAGGTCATCGGCTTCATGAACGAGAAAACATTTGAGGTCTACGAAGGCGTCGATCTCGACCCCCTGGACAACAATGCGGTCTCCGAAACAGAAGACCCGCACGACGCGACCCGCGAAGCGAAACGTCGCATCCGCGGGATGATGAATAAAGACCTCATCGCCGACACCGGGAAGGAGTACCCCCTGGTCCGCTTCTTCGCCGCGGACGGCACATCGCGCGACCTCCTCTGCCAGCCCGAGGACTGGAAAGTGGAACTCCCCAACGGCGAGATCCAAGCGCAGCGGCGGCAGATCCCGTTGATCCTGGCGTGGGCGCTGTCGATCCATAAGGCGCAGGGACAGACGCTGGAGAGGGTCAAGGTCGATCTGCGCAAGGTTTTCGAGAATGGGCAGGCGTATGTGGCGCTGAGTCGCGCGACGACGCAGGAGGGGCTTTGGGTGCAGAATTTCAATCCGAGGGCGGTGATGGCGCATAAGAGGGTGGGGGAGTTTTATGATAGTTTGTATAGTGTTAATAAGGCGATGAGGCATCCGAAGGTGCAGCCGGAGGGGGGGGGGCATAAGAAGCAGGAGAAGGTTCAGGGTGCCGTGCAGAGGATGGAGGATAGGCAGATGATGGGGGAGTTGGAGAGTTGGGAGGAGGATGAGGAGGCTATGGTTGCTTATGGGTGATTTTTCTTGGGGGTGGGGGGACTGATATGTAGACATAGACAGATCTGTCGAGTTGGGGGCATCGCTACTACGTATAGACGCTGTGGGTGTAGGGAATCAATAGCTTGTAGCTTCACGTCACTCGTAGCAAATTACATCAAAGTATGAAATAAACCACTTGTTCAATCTATTTCCTTTAAACATCCCAGCTCGTGGCTCTTCATAAACCCAAAGGGGACCTGAGGATCGATACCGCCACGTCTTTACACCGATGGAGTGCGAGTGGTGACAATATCGTCCGCACCATCTCACTCGGCCCGCCTCGCACCGGTGCATCCTCGGCGCCTACGCGGTCGACAATCGGAGGGGAATTAAAGCCCGACGAACAGGTTGCTGGGATGGCGAGGGGGTATGGGGGTGATGGATATATATGTTCGTTGTCCGATACTGCGGTTGCCTCGCTTGCGGCTACTGGAGAGGGTAAAAGGGGTAGCTGCTGACGCCTTACCTTGTATGTGGGGTGAATGATGTGAGCGGGACCCCTTCGGAATAGAGTGGTAGAAGGTGATCGGTTTATTTGGTGCCGTGGGCGGGGATTGAGAGATTCTTCGTTGTGGTGGACGGCCTCGACATCTTGTCATGCTGAATGGCCTGACGGCACTTCTGCGGATAGTACGGACTAGACAGAAGCCCTATCGTCGGCGCAGTTCCCGAGAGGGAAATAGTCAGCATGTCGATCGGTGGAAATAAGCAGGGCAGGGAGGTATAATTTACGAACTTGCATATGCGAGTAACTCCAATATCACCATGGCTCGCGCATATCGTGTATTATCGGTAGGAGGGCGTCGGCACTTCGCTCCTCTTCAGTGCGAGTTGGCTTTCGAGTTTGCTGCGCCAAGTGCTGCGCATGTCCACAATATCTAATAGTGGTGAGAAGAGGGAACGACAGGAATGGAGCAACGACAGCAAGATCTAGGTTAACGGTGACAAGAAGGTAACATTTCTTCACCCATTGGCGGGCGCAGGTACTCTAGGTGTTCTGCGAGCGTTGTCAGCGAAGCGCCATTATTTACCAACTATTGGTACGTAAGTTAGATGGCATTTTATACGTTTGAGGCGCCTTCAAATGTATCGGCAGGGAGCTTCAGTTCATCTGCAGGATCCCACATGACAGGGCCAAATTAGTAGGAGCAATGGCATCTGGTCTGACTGATAAAGTATAATAACTCATATCATTGCAGTACTCCGTGCTCAGCAAATCTATGCATAATCTCCGAAAACTATAAATACATATCGCAACCACATCATTACATAATATCCCCCCATCCATATCCCATACCCCCCTCACAATATCGGCCCCCTAACAACAGGCCTCTCCTCATCCCCCCCGAACCCCTTATCAACCCTAAACCCAATCCCCGGCACCCTCCACCTCAACGCCAAACTACTACAAACCACACTCACCGAGCTCGCCGCCATCGCCAAACTCGCCCACACCGGATCCAACCTTACATGTGTCCCCCCCGGCGTGAGCGCATAAAACGCCCCCGCCGCCACCGGCAAGGCAACCATGTTATACAGGAGCGCCCAGGCGAAGTTGAACTTGATGCGGCGGAATACGACGCGGCTGAGATGTAGCAGCGTAACAAGGGATTTCAGCTCCGATGAGACGAGCACGAACTCCGCGGCGGAGATGGCGATATCGCTGCCGGCGCCCATGGCGATGCCGACGTCTGCGGCGGCGAGGGCGGGCGCGTCGTTGATGCCATCGCCGACCATGCCGACGAGGGCGCGGCGGGAGGAGCGTCCTGAGGTTGGCATGCTGCGCTGGAGGTCGCGGATTCGGTCTGCTTTTTCGGCGGGGAGGACGCCGGCAATGATATTTTGGGGGAGGATGCCGAGTTTGAGGCCGATGGCGTGGGCGGTGATGGGGTTATCGCCTGTGAGGAGCCAGGTGGATGTTCCAGCGTCGTGGAGGGCGCGGATGATACCCGAGGCAAAGGGGCGGATGGGGTCGGAGACGGCGAACATGGCGGAGAGGTGGCGGAAGTGGGAGGAAGTGGGAGGAGGGGTGGATGGTGAAGTGGGTGGGTGTGGTCGCGAGATTCCGACTAGGACGACGCTGTCTCCTTCGCGCTTCCAGGTTGAGAGAATGGTGGAGGCGGATGTGGGGACGGGGATGAAGTATTCGCTCATGAGTGCCTCGTTGCCGATTAGAATCTCGGTGAAGACTTCATCAAGGAAGGCAAGGGCGCGCATGCCGCGGCCGGGGATCTCGTGGACCTCGAGGAGGCGGGGCTTCTCGTGTGCGTCTTCGATTTCGGCTGTGGGCTGTGCGGCGCAGAAGGAGGAGAGCGCTTTTGCGAGTGTGTGCGTGCTGTTGTCTTCGGTGCTCGCTATGAGGGAGAGGAGAGTGCGCTCGGCGAGGACTGGGTGGGCGGTATCTGAGGGGCCGATTGGGAGGTACTCAGTTACGGCTGGATCGCCACCCATTGTAAGCGTGCCGGTTTTGTCGAAGACGATAGTGTCGAGGCGGCTGGCTTTCTCAAACGCCGCACCACCGCCTTTAACCAAGATACCATGCTTCGCGGCGAGGCCACCGCCAACAAAAAGTGCGGTTGGGGCAGCGAGGGCAAGGCCACAGGGGCAGGCTACGACAAAGACGGCAATTGCGAACTGCAGGGACCAAGTTACCCAACCACCCTGGGAGTGGTGGCCGTCGAGATAGTCGTCAGGAAGGGCGCCACTTAGGCCGAGAGAGAGCCAGATGATCCAGGTTATTATGGCGAGCGCAGTGATAGCTGGGACGAAGTAAGAAGTCAAGGAATCTGCTAAACGCTCAATTGGGGCGCGCTTCGTTTGGCCTTCGCGCACGGCTTGGACAATTTGGTCGAGCATCGCAGAACCAGAGGCACTGCTGATTGTCACGGTGACTGGAGAGCCTCTGTTGATGGTCCCGGCGAAGACCGACGAGCCGATGTGTTTCTTAACCAATTTGCTTTCACCTGTAAGACTGGACTCGTCGAAGTTTGTCTCGCCACCTGTGATCTCGCCGTCAGCAGGGGGCGAGGCGCCATGCATTACGCGAACACTGTCGCCAAGTTCGAGGAGATCAACGGGCACTTGGGACAATTGGCCAGTGGGCCAGTTAACCAGGACAGCAGTAGTTGGACGAAGCTTGCCTAGAAGCGTGACAGCGTCTCCGGTGCGGGACTTGCTATAGGCTTCGATGTATCTACCGATTAAGAGGAACATGGTGAGGAAGACGACTGAATCGAAGTAGAAGCTAGTCTCATCAACTTCCATCGAGGGGTTGGCACCCGCAGAAATCAGTTGTGCGACAGATGACCAATATGCTATGGAGGTTCCAAGAGACATAAGCATGTTCATGCTGCCGAACCGATAGAAGCGCTGTAGGATGGGCGTCTTGTTGCCACGGCGCCACAAGAAGTGGATCTCTTTGATGGCACGTCGGTGGAAAACGTCTGCTGCGAGGAAGTATACGGGCGTAGAGAGGAGAAAGAGGATCCATTGCGAGCGGCTGACCTGCGCTTTCCATGGTGTCATAAGCCAGTGCTTGCTCTGGTTAGAGGAAGGAACGAGGCTCATGAAGACAATGCCAATTATGAAGGTTGGAATCGCTATGATGATTGTGAGGGCGACGCGGATGAGTAGGCGCCGTTGCTGTTGGGCATGAAGTGCATGAGACCGCTCTTCGAGGGTTGGTGGATGGTATATCGATACCTCGAACTTGGGATCTAGTGTTGATATTGTGGCAATAATATCTCTGATGGAGAAATCCGGCAGTTGAGGCACATAGCTGAGCCTTAGGATCGGGTCTTTGATACTCAGCGGCTTCTCAATGCGGATCGCGTCTCCGAAGACTTCGAGGGACCGGAGGACTTTCTCGGGACAGTGGTTGCAGAACATTTGGGAGACGTTGATTTCAACCGTTCTTCGTTGTGTGGCCTGTGTTAATTGCCCCAAATCTATAACCTTATCAAGCTTTGCTTCATAGCCAAGATCCTCAATTATCTCCATGATCTCGTCGAGGTGAGCCCTTCCCTTAAAATCCACACTGGCGCTATTCGCGATCAGATTAACTGTGACCTCCTTAGCCCAGTCTTTTTTCTGTAGAGCATTTGTGATTGCTACAGCACAGGATCCGCAGGTCATTCCGCCAACCGCTATGCTTGCCCGCCACATGTCTTTCTCCTTCCCTGCGTTCGTATCGGCGACAGAGTTTAGGAGTGCTTCGTATCCGAGGTCCTCAATAGTAGATATCAAATCATCGACGTGATCTTTGCCAACAACATCCGCGGTCGCGCTGTTGGAGATGAGGTTGACTGTGATGTTCCTCACCCAACTCTTCTTTTCGAGCTCCGTCGTGATAGCATTCGAGCAGGACGCGCAAGTCATCCCCCCAATAGCAACACTCGCACGCCAGGTATCCTGTTCTCCTCCTCCATCGACAACCACAAACGGCTCCTGCGACGACGGCGACGAAAGCGGGGGCTGCGGACCCATGGCGTCGACATGAGTATCCGGTTGTAGAAGAGGCTGGTGCGACGGTGTGTTTGTTGATTTTCCCTTTGGCTTCGTGCTCTGATATCCTTCTGTCCTACATAATTCGCAGTCCTGAATGTGTCTTGTTCTGAGCCTCTCCGAATCCTCACTTCTGCCTGAATGTCTCGGCCCGCCGAACCATTCACTACGTTCGAGAATTGAATCAAGAGTCCCGTGGACATCTCCAAATGCCAATCCACCGGAAGTAGACACGTCTCGTGCAATGCCATTTTCCGTCACACTGCATATGCCGAACCCTGCTTCGGTGAGTGCATCCTTTATGCTCCATATCTCCAGGTCTGTGGGATGCGTGACGGTCACCCACGACGTGACGATCGACGGTGATACCCTAAGAGGCCGCGGGGACAGCGCATAAAGTGCATTCTCAATATTGGCCACGCAGGAAGGGCAGTGGAGGTTTTCAAGGAGAAACGACGTCTCCATGGTCTGCGACGGCGGGGTTGAAGGGTCCATTTCGCTGAGAAGGATATTATGAAGCCTATGATAAGTGACTCTCGACACACAACCGGAAAAATAGAGAAGTATGAAATTGAGTCATAAGAAGAGAGATTCTTATGGCGATATATATGTAAGTAACTACCTTTTGCGGTGTTTGTGCCTTCACATTTCTTTGTGGCACTACTATGTCATTCGTGGTGGCCAAAACCCGCACAAAACGAGCACCGCACAAAAGACGCAGCTATCGTGCTTAATAATCAACAAACGATTAAGTAAGCAAGGGACGTGGTGTTCTTGGCCAATGAGTCGACAAGTGCATGTGCGAAAGCATTTTGTGACATAATAGTCCTTTTGAAAGCTATCAGCTAGTATCGACGAGAAGGTGATGGAACCGCAATATTGCCGCGGAGGACATGATATCATGTTCTTATACTCTCCCCACACCAACGATGGACGGGCGGGGCTTAAGGGGCTTAACCAAGACTGGCAAGGGCGTTGAGCAAGTAAAGGGGAACGAATGGGATGGGAGAGTCGCCTCCAGTGTCGTGGACTCGTCAACCTCTCCATGTCCACGAGGCTGAAGCTCATGTGCCTCATCCTGTGATACTTAAGCTGGAATGTGAGCAGGAAACACAGCCGCCTGGTCTAATTCCCATCATTGTTTGCCATCTTTGCTGTATACTTGGGGTCCGGCACGTCGGTCTTGAATCAAATCCACAGCGTTGCTGCCGTGGAACATCGCCACCTTCAAGAAATAGCAGAAGGGTTTAAGCCGATGTCAAGAATATATCTACGACAACTATGTAAAATCACGATGCATCTACACCAACTCCAATACCCAAATTCCAAATCCCAAATCCCGCTTCCAACAAATAGCTTCAACTATCCCTAGTACTCCTCCTCACTATCCTCATCCTCCGGCATAAACGCCCTATGCCTCCGACTCGTCAAGTCCTCCTCCAACCCCCCATCCCCGTCCGAATCCTTCCACCCATCCCCACCCACCAAACTCAACGCAACCGGCAAAAACACCAGCGCATGGCTCGCCGCGAACACCACCAGGGCCAGCCAGATGCGGAAATAGTAGAGCTCAAAGATCTTGCTCTTCGTGAACGCCAACACGCAGACGCCAAGTAGCTTCGTGATCGTGATCCCGCTAAACACCGACCCACCGACATTCACCAGGGAGACCCAGGCGCGGGCGTTGCGGTCGCGGAAGGATGCAGGTGCGCGGGCGAGGAGGGTGACAGAGGGGTAGGTGTAGGCGCGCGCGATGTGGGCGCAGAACTCGACGCCGATGCCGATGCAGATGATTAGGTTGACGAGCGAGACGGCATTGAGGGAGACGTTGAATAGAGCCATGGTTCCGATGATGTCGGTGACGATCATTGCCACAGTAGCTGTGACTACCATTGCCGTTTGAAGGCTTCCAAGCAGTAGTGTTGTGATGAAAAGGATGATTGCGAGTGCTGACAAGAGGAGTTGTGTAGTCAGCGACACGATCGTTGCGTACTGATCGAAGTAGATGTAGAACACTGAGTATGGGAACACATCCTCCCCTGTGCGCTTCGATACGGCATCTGCGATACGTCTTGCAGAGGCATAGGCAGCAATAAAATCTTCCTGACTCCTCAATGGCGTATGGCTAGTTCTAAAGTGACTCGCTGGAATTGTAGTCTCGGCCTGATCAATAACAAGAGCATTGCCATAAGCTGCCTTTCCGCCAAGTGGACAATCGTCGTTCACCGGCTCCCTGATCCATCGTTGTAAGTAATCAACGAATTCAACGCCCTCTGGCATGCCGTGAAGAGTGATGTTCCATGGCGGATCACGCCCTTGGAAGCATGGAACTCCATTTTCCATACAGCACTCTTCTTCCGGGTTCAGCCAGCGGAAGTAGTCATCAATCCAGCTTGCCGCCGGCGCCGCAATGTACGATATGTCAGGTCGCTTGCGCTCCTGCTCCAAGACGTTGGTGAGAGATAGCGACTCGCAGGTTGTAAAGCGAGAGCATATCTGCTGCTGGTGGGAACGCTGTGTCGCATTCAGACCACGGGTGACGAAGTACACAGGTGGCCCAGCGTCGAAATAGGCGTACAGGTCATTGAAGTATGGGATCAAATAGGAGTCATCTGGAATTGCGACCCGCTGGTCAAGACCCAGTTTGACTTCTGGAAACAATGAGACGCCTGCAGCAAAGAGGCCAAAGAATAGAACAACGACGAATACTTTCATCTTTCGGCCAAGCAGGGCGGGCGTGTATGTCTTGCGGATGTATTTCTCCAAGGTTCCCTCGTCTGAACCTTCGTAATAACGAGAATTAACGTTCAGATCACCACCGAGGTGTACACCGGCGCTCTTGACTTTCACACATGGGAAGCAGTCGGCTCTATTGTCCTCGACCCGACGCTGATTCAACGCCAGAACGGAGATAAACATCGTTACCTGTAGGATCGCATTGATGAAAACGGCCCCTGCTGCATATATGGCAAAGTTTCGAACGGCAGGCATGCCAACGAAAGCACCAAGTGCGAAAGCTATTGTCTCAGTGGATGCTGACAATAGAATGGATGGCCCCATGCGCCCGAGAGCTTTTCCGATGCGTACTTCGACAATCTCATCTGGATGGCTGAGGTTGACGCGTTCAAACTCATGAACTATGAGGAAAATATTATCCACGCCAACGGCAAGTACAATAAAAGGAATGACCTCGGCGATGATTAGGGTCACTTTTATTCCGAGAGCACTAAACAATCCAACAGAAGCAGAAATCGACATCAAAACGATGATGATACCAACGATGCCAAGCGTAAACTTAGATTGCACAAATGCGATTGAAGGGTTCCGGAATAGTGAGCCCAATGATAGAGAAGTGGATCCTAATGCCAACGAGGCGTAGAAGAACATGATAAAGTAGCTGATAACCACAATCTTGGCATCGGTGTTGGTAGACTTGTTAAGTTCGGCCTCAAGACTTATCTCCGTAGAGAATGACAACCTAAGACCGCGTTCCTGTGCTTCCCCTTGAAGGCTGAGCAGTAAAGATCGGAGGGATGTCTCCCAGTCCATTGCTCGCTCAGTTTCGGGAGAGCCCTCAGCATAGTTGTTGACAACCCAAGTTGCAATCAAAGCAGTAGAGTCGATGACGTCTCCAGACTCCTCCCATCCGCCAAGTATCGTATTCGGAGGCAACGGCTGTCCTGATTCTGGTCGGCACAAAACAGGAGACTTTGCGCAGCCCTTTAGGTCTGACTTCCACGTCTTTGGATTGACCGTGCTGATATCGTTTCCAAAATAGCCAGTCACGGATTGGATAACACATGCATCGCCCATTGGCTTGAAACAAACATCGTTCAGCTTAGCACCGTAGTGTGGGCCGGTAAGCTTGCTGACCCTGTCTTCCACATCGAACCACCACTTCAGAGTCTCGTAGCTCAGAACAGGTCCTGGACCACCAGGATGGGTATCATTGACAAGAAAAACTTGTTCTGCGCGGTAGAATGGGCCAAAGCTCTCATCGAAAAAAGCCTTTTCCTTAGCAGCGTCAGACGCAGGGCTCACCCAGAGTCTGGCTGGATTCTTCTCAATATCAAAATTCATCCATCCCAAACTGAAGAGTGCAACAATAAGGACGCTAAGGCCGATGCTTATTCCGGGAAATGATGCTGCTGCGTATCCAAGCTTTGAAAATGCACTATCGATAATTGTGTTGACTCTGTAGTTTTGCTGCGGACGATCATAAAGAGCGGCATTGTCCAATAAATCGCCTTCTTCGTCTTCGTCGTCGCTAGCAGCTATGTCTTGCAATAGCTGTAGTCTCTGATTCCTTCTTCTCGAATGCTTCGCCCAAGCGACATGCCCGAAAATTGCGGTAGCGAGAAGTGCAAGAAATATACCATATGTAAGAATGGCGCCAAAGCTCAGGCAGGGCAGCGGTCCAACATGGCATGCTTTGTTCTCCTTTACCTCCTCCAGCTTTGGACAAACTGCCGGACAGTCCACGCAAGCGCATCGAAATGCTTCGTCTTCGTCGTTGCACTTCTTCGGGACCATATCTGTCGGTTTCATGTTCGGTTCTGTGTAGTCGGTCGGTAACGGGAAGTTGATTTGAAACGGGCTTCCAACAAGGAGCTTCTTATCACCCAAAAACTTCAACAGCCCTGGATAATCCTTAGCCCCTCCACCTATGAAGTCCATCGCATTCTGATTTGCCGCCCCGAATTTAACGTCCTTGCAGCTATCGTAGAACCCTGAACCGTACTTGACGCTCACAAGCTGATCCAGCTCCGTCACAATAGACTTATCTCCCTTTTTCTCAGTCTCCGTCACGTTGATAAACAAGCTCTGGTCTGGACTGCACGTAAACGTACAGAACAGATTGAAGAAGTTATCCTTGCATGCGGGGCACGCTGATATTATGGGTTGTGCCCTCTTGAGATTGGTCTCTAGGTCATCCAGTTGCTTCCCTTCGCAACAAACCGGGCATTCGCTCCATTTGCTTCCACATAGCTCGACTAAATGTTTTCGTGTCTCGGGCGAGGGTTCTTCTGCTAGCCCGTTGTCTGGACATGGCAGCTCAGGTCCGAAAAATGACTTCTTCCCACAGGTTCCACGGATCGCGCAGCGTCCGGCTTCGTGTATGGGAGTGTATGGGTCGGCAACAGTGCTACTTGAAAGGGCTATCAAGCCAGCGATGACCTCCCATGCTCGACGCATCGTCGCTTTGGGGGTCCACGGGGCCGTCGGTGTTTCAGTCGATCAGTGAAGGCAACGGTGGGAAATAGTAGATTATGCGACAAGATAAATGGTGGATAAGCTCGTTACTCAACGAGAATTGCACTATGCGAGAACTTAATCTAACCACTGCGTTATGGTTATCGCGTTTGCTGTCGGCCTGGTCGTGTTTAGAACTGGGATGAGTCGCACAGTACCTTGACGGTTGCACTGACGTCAGGCCTTTGCGTCACGTGGTCAACGTTTTTGGAATTTCGTCGCGTGATTGGCCTTGTTCAACTGGATGAAGTGTGGTTATAAACGTCATATTGAACGCACTACTGGGAATATATATCTCGTCATGAAGACTCTTGATATATTAGGGGCGTTGTACTAGGACCTTTAGTTATGGACCTACGCTTTAATTGAAAGGTTTTTATTTTGAATGCATCTTTTGATTTATTTTAATTGTGATATTTTTACTCTTCAAAGGCTACCGGAAATCACAGGCCGAGAATATATCCAAAATGACAACCCGAGCCATGAAAAATGTTGAAAAGGCATTCACAAGCCACGGGAAATCCCTCGATGAAAATGGCAACGAAATTAAATCGCCAGACAAAAAAAATGTTGATAGAGGTTTCGAAAAAGCAGGGTCACCGGATTCCGCGAATAAAGAAAATGGCCATGAGGGGGTGGTGCATCCAGGAAGGCCACAACAGGAGGAGAGATTTGGGGATCAGTACAGGAAGGTGAGCTTGTCGGATTTGTCTAATCAATTGTTTGCTACATTGTCTTCAATGCTATTTAGAGACCTCCGGGACTAACTGCACTTTACATAGCCCAGTTTGGTAGGGAGCTTATTTTACTCCAATTTCTCCAAAGTCGATCATGGCCCACAAAAACATCATGATAAGAAGAGATGAATTCCGGGAATTGTGCGGAGAGTATTTACAAGATCATGTCATCAAATTCGGGTTTCATAAGAGATATTTTGAATGCTTGAAGTTGATTTGAATAAAATCAATTGCATCTATCAGAATGAAACGCTTTGTGATGCCAACAGCCTCGTTAAAACCCTTCGTGGGGAAAGAGTGCCGTGGTTTGCCAATCACTGTGACTGCTATAAAATGTAGACAAATCCCGCGAGTATCATTGCTTGCTCAGGCCATCTCCGAGAACTGATTTGATGCCTACAAACCGTTAAATCGCATCTTTATTATAGGAACTTGAAAACTTACTGTGGATCTGTGATCCCACGCCGGCCATATTTTATGGCACACTTTTGATGCTGAGCACTGTTTCCGGTTAGCTACGCTTCAAGAACCCACAGAGATGAAGCATACTCTGAGAGTTTCTCTCGGCCACCGCCAATCGTGGCCCCCTTGACATCCTCCCCTGCTACACTCAGTGTGCCAAGCTAATGACTTATCAGTTTCTGGACCGATGCTTGCCGCCACAATAGCTTGTTACTTACCACTCTCGGCACAAGCTGAGCCGTCGGCTCTACTCATCATAGAGTCTGTTAAGACGAAAGATGCTTTTGACCTTCTTGATCAATCTTCGGCGCATTTTTGGGCCCCCCTCGGTTGCCTCCTCGGCTTTGCGAGCCATCCTTTCCATCACAATGTCTACTTCTTTGTCAAACTCGTATGGAGTCAGGATGTCACGTAGATAGTAGATTTTGTCCTCTTATTATGCCCCTGTTAGCTTCTTTCCATTCTTATAACTGCATGATCACTCGTTGTACACAGTGCATGTCACGTGAAACCAATCACGTGACGTCATCCCCTATTGAGCCACTTGGTCGTGCCTTCCAAGCTAGGATTCCAAACTAGAATCCCAAGCTAGAACAAGCTAGAATTCCAAGCTAGAGTCCCAAGCCTGATTCTCAAAGAGTCTCAAGCCCGAGTCTCGAGCTGGAGTTCCAAACTGGAGTTCTAATCTGGAACAGGGAAACCGAAGCATAACGAACAGTGTTTGAACGCCAAGAGGCATCCATTCTGTTATGGAAACCGGAAGACTGACATGGGAAACAATATGAGGAAAAGAACTCACCAGCCTTTGAGCGATTATACGCACTGTATGAATCGCAGCTGGACGTCGACGTATAGCTGAGACGAGCCATGTTGCTCGAAGCGCTGCCGATCGACCGCATTGTGATGGAGATGGGATGGAGCTTATGATATCGGCACTTGGGCGGAACTTTGCTCTTTGAGCCGTTGATGGCGGTCGAGCAATTGGTGACTCGAACACAGGTATTCCTCAAGAAGAGTAATACCTGTCGGCTGAAAAGAGTCTTACGAGTCCGTACCGAAAGCTTTTGAGGTTTTTGACGAGAGCTTGACTCTTGGAAATGAGCTTTGATGCTTGGAAGAGATCGTTGACTGGTTATGATGATGGCAGTGTAGAGCTTGAGTATGCCTGGATGAGTATGCAGGAGTGATGGAGGGAGGGAAGCAAAGTTGGAAAAGAGCGAGTTTCTTATAGCTTTCGCCGCTGGCACTAAACATCAGTCAAGTGACACAGGTCCATCGTATCATCAGAGCACCAGAGCACCAGAGCACCAGAGCACCAGACATGCTTCACGAAGTTTGACATGCCGCTATGAAGCTAACAAAGCTTATTCCCCGGCGCCGCCTAATGTGGTAGACTAGAAGCATGCCGGACGTTGAGGCTCGAAATTAACCGGTGTGCCGCTAGCACCATAATCCAGCCAGTGACTCACATACCCTCTAATGTCTCTAATGTAGCCAGCTACTCAATATCAACGAGTAGAGCAAGAAGAATGTTGGGCGTGGAGCTAAAAATTAAGGTTTGAGCCTCAGGAGCTCCGGCTTGCCGCTAGCAAGTGACAGGAAATAGCTGTCGAGATTGACATAAAATAGAATGGAATGGAATAAAATGGAGTCTCAACCCAATAAGTGACTCAATTGTGGAAAACTAAATGGATTCGAAAATGTAAAAAAGAAATGGTAAACCTTGCGCTCGTAGTGATCCAAAGGAGAACAACGTGACACGCATTAGCTGTAATCTTCCATTGCTGCATGAAGGCTCTCTGACGTCTATTATTGACAATATGTACACTTAGTCTGTTTCCCTCTATTTCTTAGGCTCCTCCATCTTCTCCTCTGGCTTCGGTGTTGGGAGTTTAAACGACTCTGGCTTCTGATCAATACCGGTTCCAACTTGCTCCCATGTGCTGCTTCCACCATCAAAGTTTCTGAAGGCCTGGGTCAACTCAAGTGGCTCAACAACAACCCGCTTCTTCTCCTCGTCGTATCGAATCTCGGTATAGCCCGTAAGCGGGAAATCCTTTCTCAATGGGTGACCATCAAATCCATAGTCGGTCATAATGCGGCGGAGATCAGGGTGTCCAACGAAGAAGACTCCAAACATGTCGTAGACCTCACGCTCATACCAGTTGGCACCGTCGTAGAGACTGGTAATAGATGGTACAGGCTGCGCCTCGTCGGCATAGGTCTTGACGCGTATCCGCGAGTTGTGTCGGACGCTCAGAAGGTTATAGACGACCTCGAATCTTTGATCACGGCTAGGGAAATCGACAGCCGTGATATCAGAAATCGTGGTGAATTCCGCCGCAGTGTGGTTCCTATGTGACCATTAGCTCCACCTCGAGTTTCTGAAGCGGGGAGGTGCCGCAGTGAAGGCGAGAGGGGGCGCGGGGCGTGGAAAGCATCTAAGTACTCACTTAAGAAAAGTAATGACTGGGATCACTCCGGAAGGAGGAATGTAGATTGTGAGCTCATCCTTCCAGACGCTGTATTGCTGCACGTATTTTGGCAGGCACGACAAGACGTAGGCACCATACTTGTGCATAGCCTCGGATCTCGACGCATATTTATCGACGGGGTTTTCGACCGGGGAATTTATTGTCTCCATAGCTAGTCCACAATTAGCACCTTCAATTAAGGTTGGAGGAGGTCTTTCGATGACATACGCGGTCGTTTCGCAAACCTCATGTTTGGAACATCACTCCCCGCCGCCAGGTTGGCAGCTTTACGGGTTGCCGGGGTAAGAAAGCAAAGGCTTCCCTTCCTTGCGGCAGATGCCAGCGGACGGCTGAGTCTCATCGACATGACGTGAAATGGAGGGGTTGGCCTGCAATCGTAATTTGTAGCTTGTAGTTCTTGACGACTTCAACAAACGTCACGAATCTACGGGAAGGTCCTTGATCACGTGATTACTATATTGAAAATTACCGAAATTTAGCGTCGTTTAAGGCGCGTTCGCATCTTCCAGCGACCTTTCAAACCACGTCAAATCCTTTGTTATCCACACCCCCAACGCCACCCTTCTTTTCTTATACGTCGCATTGTATGCGTTGAGAAGGCATTCGACTGCCCATAAGATCTCCTCCCGAAATTAACACCGACTCATCCACTACATACCCTTTTATATCATGGCATCGTCAAGTAGAGTTCAACAGGACAGCTTCATAGACGACGACGACCTTACATGGTACGCCTTCACCGCACCTTTTACAACTTCAGTTTGAATAGTTGCTAACGAACAGAGAAGCCCATTATGTGTGGAGGAGTTCGATCTGTCAGATCGCAACTTCCGACCATGTCCTTGTGGATATCAGGTATGTAATTTTGGCCACCTCCCGTCCCCCAAGGATATAACCTTTAGTTACGAATACACATATAGCGAATTACTTCTCCTAACCTTCTAAATAGGTCTGCCAGTTCTGCTTCAACAACATCAAAAACAACATGAATGGTCTGTGTCCAGCATGTAGGAGACCATACGATGAGAAGACAATAGAGTGGAAGGTTGTCACACAAGAAGAGTATGTTGATCAGCATGACACTTGGTAACTCTGGTGTGAAGGCTAATGAACTTTGGTTAGGATCGCACAATTTAAAGCCAACGCCCAAAAGAACGCGAAGAAAAAGGCAGAGCAACGGCATAAGGAGGCGCAGAAACGCGAAGTGGAAAGTCTGAACCGAAAGCACTTAGCTGGGCTTCGAGTAGTCCAAAAGAACTTGGTATACGTTGTTGGTCTCAGCCCCGGAATCCCGGAGCAGGATCTTCTGAAAACACTGCGTGGCGATAAACATTTTGGGCAATATGGACCTATTGTCAAAATAGTTGTCAGCAAAGCGAAGCAGGGCGAAGCACCACCGAATAATGGGTCACTGGGCGTCTACGTCACCTTCGCAAAAAAGGAAGACGCAGCGAAATGTATAGCCGCTGTGAACGGGTCGCAAAACGGCGACAGGGTTTTACGAGCTCAACTCGGAACGACGAAATACTGCTCTGCCTATCTCCGCAACGAGATATGTACGAATAAGCAATGCATGTTTCTCCACGAACCAGGCGACAATGATGACAGTTATTCTCGACAAGACCTATCCACGATTAATAGCGTCAATACGCAGCGTCCGTTACCTGGACCTTTGACATTTTCTGGCCCTGTAGCACAAGCTGCGCGGCAAGCAGCGCAGGCCCAGGCACCTATACAACAATCACAACCCGTTGCAGCGGCATCTCAAGTTATGGCGCGCGACCCAAGCAAAGACGAGTTGGACAGTGGCGATGGATCGGCACTACCATCATCTGCAAGCTGGGCGAAAGGAGGGCAACTAAGCAGGAGAGGAAGCCTTGCAACCAGCGCCGCCGCTTCTAGCCCAGCTATTTCGGCATCACTGCCGGCGCTTGTTCTTGAAGAGGAGAGTCCTGAATCGCCACAAGATCGAATTTCGCAGACGCAAGATAGCGCGGCGGCCGAAGCTCACCAACAAAGCTTGATACCACAGGCGCCGTCAGACCCTGTACTGGCACAGATTTTGAAATCTATAAACTATCTTACAACATTGTCAGAATCCCCCAGTGAAAGCACTGACGAGGACTCACAACTATGGTGGCCTTTGTTTGACGACAATGGAGGTCTGAAGCGGCGCTTAGCTCGTGAACAACAGGATGAAGCAACCCGGCTGCACATCGAACAAGAGCTTCAGGAAGAGACGAGGTCGGCACCCGAAGCCCAAGAGGAACAGGAGCCTGGAAGTGGTAGTGGGCAACTAGGCGGAGAGCCCGAAGATAGGGATGATGGCCGAGAGAGCAGCCAAGGCCAAACTTTTCATGATCAAAGGCGCCCGAGTGCCCAACAACCTATACAACGCAGCTCTCAAGATAGTGGTGTATTTGGCGGTACTGGAGGCCAAAATTTCTCGCCCAATATCGGCAATTTAGCCACAGTTAATGGGCGTGCCCTGACACCAATACAACAGCAGCAACTATTGTTGTTGAAGTCTGGCCAGTCTGGTCAGCCACAATCGGGTTTCATAGACCAGTACCCTCCAGGAATTGGTGCTTTGGGTTCGCAGCAGTCGACGTTGTTTCAACAGCAGGGCCACAATCGCCAGTCGTCCAGATATAACTTCGGCGGTGATTCTGCATCAGCTGCGAAATCTACCACAGGCTCAAAGCTACTAGGACAACAAGCATCAATGATGGGGCTTCAGCAAGGGAACCAGTTTTATGGTTCCACGGTGCCAGGGCCACCACCGGGACTTAAATCCACCGGGACGCCTCCTAGCGGAATGTTCGGACAATCTCAATTTGGCGGTGCCGCATTTGGGGCAGCTGGAAAAGAGAATAATAACGATATTATTCGGGAGATGTTAAGAAATCGAGGAGGTACTGGCTCAGGGAGCGGAGGACAGAGCCGCGAAGCCGGAAAGCGTGAGTTTATGTTTCCTTTTTCTCATCAGTACCCGTCCTCCTCCACTCCAGCCCGGACTTCTAGCCTCGTGGCAACGCTCTATGGCCCTCAGCCTGGAGCATTCCAAGACTTCGGTCCAAAGCAGAAGAAGAAGGGAAAGAAGCACAGACATGCTAACACTTCCTCCTCTGGGGGAGGTGGTCTAGTCGATCTTGCGGACCCAAATATCTTGCAGGCGAGGATGCCTCACCAGCAACAGAGCAATGCCGGAGTTGGACAGGGGCTGTTTGGGGGTCAGGCACAAGGTGGGTACAATCAGAGCATGATGTATGGCGCAGCATTCAGGGGCGGATGGTAATCCGGAGGACAATGGGGCGTTACTTTGCTGGGCCATTAATTAGCGGTTACCTCTACGGCACATGGCGTTTTCCCCGGAAAGAGCTTGTTTTATGGCACATCATTTGGTGTTAGCATAGCCTCCCTTGCATGGAAGCGGGGAGCTCTTTGGCGTCGAGCATTATTTTATGCGCTTGACAATGTGGAGTTCATCGGCTTTGCACGTTGTTTATTGCGGTGGGAAGGCACTACAATGGGTTCGTCATCGTCACGTCTCGACATTCTTCATGTACGTTAATTCCCCTATCCTACACTCGCCCTAGGATGGGTGGTTTGTCAATATAATTTTCTCACACAAATCTGTGCCTCGAGTAGAAGAATTCGAGACGCAAAGACGATGATGGATCCTGTATTGTAACTTTGTTCCACCGTGATCGACAATAAGCATTGGTCAAGATCATTGGTCAAGAGCCTGGCACGCCCTGTCTACCTCGACCCATTCCATTACCGTCTTAATTGCTTTCACACTTGGTATGGAGTTATGCTGACAATTTCACTAGCAGATGATAACCTCTTGTCCATGGATGATGATGTATCCCACTCCGTGGATGCTCTGGTTGCAGAGAGCGTTTCGGAAACTGCCGCAAGCCCTTTCCATCATGGCCTTTCCATGCCTTCGCGCACGTCGACCCCATCAGTTCCTCCCGGTTTCAATCTGCCCCATGCACACCCTTCTCCAACCCGCGACGATGCGATGGCCAAACCACAGACTAGGATTCCAGCCATACCAGCGCCATCGCAGTACACACCACCTCGAAGCATGGCCGCTACGCACGTGCCTAGAGTTGGTACACCACTTTCAACAGTATCGATTCCACCCACACCTACCCCGGTTCCAGCAGTTGTTGTCCCGAAGCCGGGGGCTTCAAAGACCGAAGCGAGAGAGCAAGCAAAAGAAGACGTTAAGTCATTGGCAAACGACACCGGCCTCACGAAGGCGATTGCTTCTCAGTCATCACAGCTCATGGCACCTCCAGGGCTTCACCGGGAAGACTTTCCAGTATTGGAGAAAGGAAAAGCGAAAGACGTTGCTATTATCTCTGGACCCCGAGCCATGACGGCCGGCAAGAAAGCGCTGGCAACCCCAAGCAACGTTGCAGCTGTGACCCCTGCCCCTAAGGCCGCCGCCAAAAAGTCAACGCCAGGCATACTTAACATCTCTGTTCCAGCGCAACCATCAACCAAGGAAGTAGCCGACAAAGAGCCACCAGCAAATGCGGCTGTTCAGTCATCTGCATTCCCACCACTGCCCCCAAGTACTCCTGCCGCATCGTCTGGGTCATCGGTACCAAAAGGGCCTAGGTCCATCCGAGTTGTACCTACAAAGACCGAGTCGCCTGTCATTAGTGCCGCCCAGCCTTTGTCCGCAATTTCAAATTATTCTGCAACTATTTCAGGTAGTCGTCAAGCTAGCATCTCTTCTAATTCTAGATTCGAGAGGCCTGGAACCCCGGCCAGTGAGATAATTTCAGACACTGCTTCCCTTACTTCGGCTTCCTTGTCCCGACCAAGCTCTCCACCGCCAACTAGGGTAGGTTCCGCACCAGTGAGAACCACCACGAAGAGCCAGCAGAAGAAGCAACGCCGCGAGGCTATGAAGGGGAAGGAAAAAACCGAGGTAGAGACTGCCGTGGTGGAGACCCCTGAGGCCGAAGAAATTGCGCCAATTATGGGCAGGAAGAAGAAGCAAAAGAAGGCAAAGGTTAATACGAAAGCTGGTTCGCCAATACCTGTTCCTAGTCGGCCTCCAACGCCGAAACAGGTAGAAAAGACGGAGCCAGTGAAGGAAACCAAGGCCAGCGGTGGCCCAGAAGCCTCAAAGAAACAGAAGGCCCCCGAGGTGGAGGCAACACCCAAGCCAGTTGTCGAGTCTAAGGCTGAAGTAGTGGAAGAGGCAGTGCAGGAACCCCCGGCACCCACTGTGGAAACGATAGATGAAACTTCAGACAGACCAGTACCAACCCCATCGGCAGTGCTGCAAGATTTGCTCTCTCATGGGCAGGTACCTCAGCCAGATAAGCTGGCCGTCCTTAGACCACCAATGGGCTATAACCAGCGCGCTGGATTCCAGGGCGATCTGCCGGATCTTGACCATAAATTGGTCATCACTGAAGAAGATCGTGCGGCGCTGCTTTCCGGCAGGCCAGTACATAAAGTTGTGCAGGGGTCTCACAGAATCATGCTTACGCCCAATGGCGATTGTGTTCGTAACCTGACTCCTACCGAAGAAGAGCGTTACTTGGAACTTCAGTCGCGCATCTTCCAGGAGTCAGGCCCAGCAGCTTTTGTGCCTGCAAGACACAATGCGAGCAATGGCTTTACGCTTATTGGAGGCCGGGCTGTACCAAACGGACCACCTGCTTTCTTCCCTCCCTTGGATGGAAGCCTGACGATCCCTCCCCTTGATCCAGTTAGCAAGATCCAGCGCGATGAGGCCTTGAGCTACATCAACCAGTACGTGCTGCCATCGCTTTCGACGAACTCTCAACTTGAGCGTGCGCTCAATGCGAATGCGCTGGACACGGAGATGCTTCGTCCAAACGATACTCAATCCTGGCCAAACTGGGGCACTGGAAGCGGCCAAGGCGGCAACAATGCGGCATCGCAGGAGAACCGATCTGGTCAGGAGGGGCCGTACGGTGGCAATAGACAGGATGGCATCCTTGCTAGCGGACTCGAAAGCATGACTGCGCATTTCGCCGTTGGCCGCGAGAGCAGCCGTGGACAGCCACTTGGTAATGTCACACTGCTGAGCCTGTCCGACAGCGAGACTGCGATGCAGAGCGCGAAGAAGGAGACGGAGAAGCTCGAGAAGAGCTTGAACCAGCTGCTGAAGAAGAACCGGCGGCTGTTGCTGGGTGCGGGTCATTGACGGCGCGCAAGGAGTTTAGGCGTTCGGGTTATTAGGATGGGCATTGTCCTGTTCGGACTTGCGGAGCTGTGCCTCAGGATCATGATCGTGAAGGTACTGCGGCTGCTTGTCGTCTGTACGATAGTGTTATGTGTATGGGTATGGAAGCGTATGGCTACGCCAGCGATTTTTGCTGGGTGGCTTGGACGCTCTTTCTAGGGTGGCTTGTAGGATTGGTGTTTTTTCAGCGGCATAATATGGGGCGGGGCGGCTTGTGTTTAGTAGCATAGCATGGCGATACCACATCAGTTGGACCGGCATTTTAGATGTATGATGATACCAGAAGAGAAGATAGCCAGGTATTCACCTAAACTTATGGCGATAGTATTTTCGATTTTAGGTTCATGAATATAAACTTCCTTCACTCTTCCCACTATATCTTGTCCCCGTGAAAACCGTGAAAAGCAGTTGATGCTTATTCAACCCAATTGCATACTCTATCTAATAGGTATCTATCCCCAATTCCCGGCTATGTCTATTTAAGAACTCCAAACTGTATATTTTAGTTATCAAAGATGCCAGGGAATAACCACTCGACCTTCTTCACGGCCTCTGCTCCTCTCCCCTCGGGCTTTGTGATCCATTTCACAGCCGGAGTCGTCATGCCTTCCCAGTGCTTCGCCCTGACTACATCCGTGTTCTCTAGCTTGCAAAGCTCGTCTAAAACAGCGCCGACAAGGTGCCTAGCGTTCGTGCCGTTAGCAGCCATGTGGCCCATCACCATCGCAACATCAACATCCTCGCTGCTGTGCCAGCAGTCGTAGTCGGTCGCCATGCAGATCATCTGGTATGCCATCTCGGCCTCGCGAGCCAGCTTGGCCTCGGGCAAGGCGGACATGTTGATGACGGATCCGCCCCATGCGCGGTACATGTTCGACTCTGCGCGGGTAGAGAATTGTGGTCCCTCTTACATACCATTAGCAAACTTACTCAGAAATGGTGACGGCTTCAGACACCGAAGCGCCGAGAACTTACCCATGCAAATAATGGTGCCCTTATCGTGCATCCTGACACCCTCGCCCTCAAGCGCATGTCCGCATCGCCTCACGACCTTAGCGACCTCCTCATCGAAGGGGTCCGCAAACCCGACGTGTCCGACAATCCCGCCCTCGAAGAATGTGAATGGGCGCACGCCCTTGGTGCGATCGATGACCTGGTCCGGGACGACGAAGTCGCGGGGCTTGATCTCCACCTGCAGCGAGCCGACGGCGGAGAAAGCGATGACGCAGCGGACGCCGAGGGAGCGAAGAGCCGCAATGTTGGCGCGGTTGGGGACTTCGTGAGGGGCGAGGGAGTGGTGGGTGCCGTGGCGGGAGAGGAAGGCGATGGCGGTGCCGTTGTGGGAGAGGATCGTGATGGGAGAGGAAGGTGCGCCCCAGGGAGTGGTGATGTCCAGGGAGGCGATGGGAGTGTAACCTTCGAGTTTTTGGAGGCCGGTGCCGCCGATGACGGCGATGTGGACTTCGCCTTGGAGGAGTTAATATCAGGGACATTTCAGGGACATCGGTGGGAGAGGGGTATTCGGGGTCTTACTTTCAAAATCTGGTAGGTCGGACATGGCGAGGTGGTGGAGGCGGCGTGAATTCCGGTGGTAAAGTTTTGACTTGAAGATATGCGCCGCTCCTACTACTGAATTCACTGTGACGTTGTGCAGCGCTTTCGCAAAGTCCAGTCTTACCTCAGTCTCTTGCGCGATAAGCTACAAAACTTGTCTGCCCCTCCATTCTCATCACGTGATATGGCATTGTTCCTGAGAAAAACCGTTCTCATATCGACAATTTAGAAGATCACATAGATCAACCGTAATAAAGATGATATATAGATGGGATTTAGTATATTTAAATGGGCTATATATACGTTTCTTTTATGTATGCTCGCCTTCCCGAATTAATAAACAAATAACGCCATCCAACCTATAATCAACCGTCCCAAAAAACAATGCTACATGAGCAAATAAAGCAATCGAACAGCCTTCTCCGCAGCTGCTATATGCCACGGTCTCGTATCCTTAACTGGATCCACAATTCCCCTGGCTTTAGCTAAAGTCGCTAGGCCACTATACCACGCCAAAATCTCCTTCAGGGGGTTCTCGGCGAGCCGAGGATTTATATCCGTCCATACTATGTTCACCTCCATAACGGCAGGTACGTCGGAACTGGACGCTCCGGTGCGTTTGATAAGGTACCCGCTGATCGCTGTTGGGCGCACTTCAAGGGGACTGTTTGAATTGTTGACCCGGTGAGCAAGCACAGCACCGTAGCTTTGGTTGGTAAGGTCGATGAGCGTGGCGTCAGGCTCAATCTTGAGTTCGCCCGTTCCATCAGTTGGGGTTGCAGTAGGAGTACAGCCTGATTGATCAGGAGAGAGTATTGATGCTGGTTGAGGAGTTGACACTGGTGTGGTATAGAATGTTGACTGAGCTGCTAAAGTCGAAGCTGGTATTGAAAGGCCAGGCGGTAGAAGTTGTAGTGCTGGCTGTGTATCAACGCTAAGGAGTGTTAAAGATATTTGGGCATTCCGTTCTGTTTCAGACAAGCCTTTCCAGAACCGTACGTCCTGTGCCTCCATAATGCCACATTTAGCGATTATGACGCGCCAGTGAACCTTCTTAGACGCTATGATATCGAGCGTAGTCTCCCAGATCTCATGAGCAATATCGGAGAACTGTCTTGTCAACGGGGCATCTTGTCTCCCTAGACAATATGAGGCCGTCATTTGGTCACTCCCGGTGTTGTCAGACCAAGCTGCTGTGATCCAACGATAATCTATGCTTTGAGCATAGGCAATTTGCAAACATGAGTTTTCTTGTAGAAGTGACGCCGATGGATTCGCCGTCAACTTGAAATCAATAGTTCGTGGCAGGGGAGGTTCGATGGCAACCGAAGGCGATGCAACCCCAGCCTGAAAATCGAAGCAGCGATCGTACACCTCCATGGCCAATCTTGTATAATCTGTCGGAGGTAAGACGACGAGATGTGTGCGTGCGCTAACAAAGTTCAATGGCACAAGCTGCAACACCAACTCATTGGATACCGTCTTGCCCGCCATTGCAGTTTTGTATACTTCAAACATGCTATGGAAGGCAGAGCATATTGGAACCAAGATGTCTGGGCTTTCGGGGTCATATACAAAATACACCACAAAGTTGGTGCTATCAGCTGATGAAGATGCCAATAGATTGGCGACTTGGAACAAGGCTTCGCGGATAACAGACAAGCCCTGGTCGGATGCAAATCGTGTTGCCTGACCACCAAGCTCTATGGGGAGTAAACCATTGACAGAGCCTTCTGTATTCAGCCTCTCGTGGCTCCCTAATCTTCTCGTCTCGTATGCGCTCCTTATATTCTCAAGGAACAGATCTGCGCTCTCCGCCATGCCTACGGCTTTAGGAAACACGCACAGTGACGTTACATGTTTGCCATTGCCGCGAGGAGCAAGTCCAAGAACATCCCAAAACGGCAATGCCGACGGAAGAACACTGAGCCTCGAATCTGATCTCCGCAATTGAAGATGTGGCGACGGCAATGGAAATATAGGGTTGGGTTTTGCCGGGCTTGAACCTTGGCTCCCTTGACTCCCTTGAGAACTCGGAATCGGGCGTGGAGGAAGACGGTTAATGCCAGCCAATTGTCGTGGAACGCCTTGCATATCTAGGAAGTTTGATAACGTCTGAGGGTTAGCACCCTTGAAATACTTCTTGGCGGCTAGTACAACATCTTGACGAATAAGATCAGGAGTGTACGTCGCCTTAATGTTTCCCTCCAGTGAGCCACAATGCCTGTTGCCGTCGTTTGGGTATCGGAGTGTATAAGATATTGCCTGATCACCGAGTATTTGCGCTGCAGCAATATACTCTGCGTCCGTCAATGTATATTCATTTGCCCATGGATTTGGCCAGGCTAAGAACATGGCCGCAGACCATCTGGTGAAATCTGAATCCAAGGCAAATGGATAAACTGTGTCTAAAGTGGCATTATTGGTCTCGTCAGCCTGGTTGACTTGTAGCTCCTGAAATGATGAGGTTATCTCTTCATCATCATTGCTCTCACTATTATCCTCAACTTGGTGTCTCCGTTTTAAACTGGAAGAATTGTGTGTAAAGCTACCGTCCATCTCATCACTACTGTCATCTTGATCAGATGATGGACTGGGGCTACGTGAGCCTCGCTGGGCGGGTTGCTCAAAGGTGATTGCTTGTCCAGGCACAAGAAAGCGATGGTCTGTGCCTGTATGGACGCCTCCCACAATAGATGATTTACCGGCCAGTTTACGACGGCGGCGTCGATTAAAGTAGTCTGTGGTTGGAAACTTCGCTCGTAACGTATTTGGTAAGACTTTAGGAGGCGGATAAATGAAGCGTCCATGGGACCCATACTTTTGGTGCAATGATGCAAATAACGCCTTGAAATCAACGCCACCAAATGAACCGGCTGGATCCAGTACAATTGCTGATGTGTCTTCTTGTGGCTTCGTCAGAAGAGGCTTCGAGAATACATCGAACGTGGACAGCCGCCCAAAGACATATTCGGGCTTCAAGGGTGGGCTAGGCTCGTCCGTAGATGTCTCTGGACCTTCCAAGCTCGGCTCGGTTTTAATTTCGATCTGGCGGGCGGGGTTGGTATCAGAAGGTAAGTCTGGGGGTAGACTTTCTTCGACGGGTGATTCATCTGTATTACCCATGTGGACATCGGCCATTTCCGGAACATCGCCCATATTTAAGTCATCCTTTGGACTAAGGGTCAATTCATTTTCGACCACTCCAGCAGTATTATCCTGACCAGGCATATCAACATCTTGATTTCCTTGAAATATATCCGGCTCATCGAAAAAGCTGAAATCTGCATCTGTAATATCGTTTTCTTCGCCGAAGAGATCATCGCCGGCGTCGCCAAACAGGTTACCGTTGCTTGTATCTTGAAAATCGAAATCTGTGTGGCTGGCAATATCCAGAGGCCCATTTGAATCTGCTTCAGTTTTCGTAACTAACGAGTTACTTGCATCTGTTGATAACGGCAGGCCTTGCTGGCCAGGGGTGGACACAGCTTCATCGAAGGTGGGAGTGGCGCCCACTGTATGTTGTACTCCATCCGGTGGTGTTGGATAAACCAACCCAGCCACGCTAGATCTTCGTAAAGCCAGCGGAGAATACAAAGAATGTAAATCTTGAGCTTCACTGTCCGCCTGCACCTTGGCAACTGCTTCTGCTGCGTCACGCTCTTTTTTCCTCCTAATTATTGTTGCTTCTCTGTCCTGTTGTCCAGCGTACCAAGTCTGCGCAAATCCAAGGGGATCGTACGTGCTCAACGTTCCAAATGCATCATTCGCACTTAACGTATTATCTGTCTGCCGAAAGCAGAGAAACGAAGGCCATGGAATTAATACGCGCTCTTCAGACAATCCCTGCCTAGGATTGTTTGTGAGCTGGTTCAAGTAAAGTCCAACCATAAACCAGGCACTATTTTCAAGACGCTCCTTGTTAATCCCTTTGCCCACAAGCCATTCCAAGCAGCGACTTCTCAACCGGTGAGACATAGAGGACTGCCCTTCATTCCCTGAGTGTTGAGTCTCGTCTGAACCTGTCGCATATTTTGAAACGGTGGATTGAAACCCATTATTCGCTAGGCCCTTGAAATTGCCAGTAGATCCTCCAGGGCCAAGGATCAAAGTTGCATTAGCAGGAATAGGTACATCTTCATGCTTCACAAAGCGTGGAAGATCGCAGCCAATGTAGCTCGTCGATGTGGTGAGAGTCGCCTTAATCACAAGCACCTTGCTACCGGTATAATCGCTGCTCAGGGTAACAAGCTGCAAGCGATCGTCTCCGTTTCCGTTATTGCTTTGGGTGGTTGTCTGCGGCCCTGTAGTGCCGAGGTTTGATTTCGGCACAACCAGCGTCCTAGAGCTTAAAGGGATGTATCCGTGATCAAGGCAAAGTGCATATCCTAAGGATAAAAACACGGCCGTCAAAAAGTAATCGTGAATATGTAGACGCAATCTTGACTGGGCAAGTAGCTGGAATTGTCGGGCTCTATCTTTCAGTGTAGGATTAAGCGTGCCGTCATCATTATTCAGGCCTATGAGGGAGTTGTTGACAGACGCTTCCTTGTTCATTATTGCTGCTTGGGCAGCTCGGAAGTGCTTTTCGAACGATTCTTTTTGTGATAGAGGCTCGCCAGAATCTGTCGAAGGACTTGATATAGTATTTGTCGGAGGCTTCGATAAAGATTTCCATGATTCCAGCAGTGCGTTGGAGTCGTATGAGCCGCTGTGTTTCAATGTCAAATCAATGCCTAGATTTGAGGCGCGACTTGACAATTGAGCACCGCCCGAAGGCGAAGAAGCGGGCTCAGCATTATCCCCAGTCTCAAATATCCATAGCCCAGCCTTCTTATTATCTTTGGCTGCGAGAATTCCGACTTGCTGCAACTCTGCGACAAGCTTGTAGAGCCCCGTCGAAACCGAGGTTTCTTCAGAAGGGCATTCGAAATACGAGTATGCTATCGAGTTAAGTTCATACTGCCGTAAAGTCAGTAGCTATAACAAAAGTATGCGATGTGGGACTTACTGTACAAACGACATTTGTCCCGTAGTCGCCGATATCCATGGTGGAGTCCCGGCGGGGCTTGAGCCCAGGCAACCTCACCCGACGGCCGGACGCCGTCTTTTGGATATCCAGAAGTGGCTTCCAAGTCTTATGACGCGCTTAAGGGTTTAAGGATAAACCAGCTTGTCGTGAAATATTGTCATGGGCGCAGTTGTTCTCAGTGTCTTCGCGGTTGGGATAACGTCGGGAAACAGACTTCCCGATCCATTGCGTTTCGTTCGAATCAAGTACTCGCACAACTTATGCATCAATAACGTACAATATTGCACCGCATATACAAAGAGTTTGTTGGTGTTGCTGGCTGCGCCCGTGTGTCGTGGGTAGTGCCTGGTTGTCCTTGCAATCCGGGGTTCTGTTGTCGCTGGTGAGCAACGATTTCCCTAATCAGACTAACGGCGGGTATACCCGCCGCTAACAAAAGTCTAAATCTTTACCAATCCCTATCGCCGCAAAACTTCCGCGAAACTTTTCGTAGAACATCGAGAGCCACCGCCACAATGAAGCTCACAAACCCCCACGATGTGCCCGTGTATACGATTTCTGGGAGCGATACCGCAAGGCCGCTTCCAGACTGGCTTGCCAGGAAAAGGAAGCGCAGCTTGAAGAATGATGCGGAATACCAAAATCGCGTGGAGTTGCTTCAAGATTTCGAATTCGAAGAGGCGAGCGCTTGCGTCCGAACCAGCGACGATGGCGACTGGGTTATGAGCACTGGAACGTATAAACCACAAATCCACACGCATTATTTGCCCCATCTCTCCCTATCCTTCGCTCGACACACCAGTTTCCTCAACTACACGTTCATCCTTCTCTCGTCCGACTACTCGAAATCTTTGCACCTACAAACCGACAGAAGCCTCGAATTCCACACGCCTGGTGGATGCCATTACCGTACACGCCTCCCTCGATACGGTCGCGATCTGAAATATGACAAACACCTGGCTGAGGCTATTATTCCTGCAGTCGGCGTTAATTCCGACGGCAGCGGAGAGGTATACCGACTTAATCTCGAGGTTGGAAGATACATGAAGCCATACCAGGTGGACGTTGGTGGAGATGACATGACGACCTCTGGAGGCGGTGCCTTACAAGGAGGAATCAATACTGGAAGTGTGAACGTCGCTGCTATTGCAGAAGACAGCCACAATCTAATGGCCTTTGGAACATCAATAGGGACAGTGGAGTTTTGGGATTCGAGGTCAAAGTCGAAGATCGGTATGCTGTCAGGCCATCAAGGTGGTGTCACTGCTCTCGATTTCGCTAGGTCTGGGCTATCCTTGGCTACAGGAACCTCTGAGGGTATTGTCCAGATTTTCGACCTGCGGAAGTCGGTGCCGTTGTTGAGAAAGGATCAAGGATACGGCTACGCTATTCAAACCCTCATGCACCTCACAACATCGTCCCAGGAAAAGAAGATTCTTTCGGCCGACAAACGTATCATCAAGCTTTGGGATGAAGCAGACGGCACACCGTGGACGTCTGTCGAGCCGGCTGTTGATATCAACTGTGTCGCGCATTGCAAAGATAGCGGTATGCTATTGACGGCAAACGAAGGCAAGCAACAACATTCGTTCTTCATCCCACAACTCGGCCCGGCGCCAAAGTGGTGCGGATTTCTGGATAACATGGTTGAAGAGATGGTCGAAGAGGAGACCGCCGAGACCTACGACAACTACAAGTTCTTGACATTACCGGAATTGAAACAACTCAACATGGGCCACCTTGTTGGTACCACCAGCCTCTTACGACCATATATGCACGGTTACTTCGTTGCCTCGAAGCTCTACGAGCAGGCCCGTCTTATCGCGAACCCATACGTATGGGAAGAGGAGCGAACCAAGAAGATCAAGGAGAAGGTTGAGAAGGAGCGTGAGAGCAGAATCAGAGGCACCAAGAAGGTCAAGGTCAACCAGAACCTCGTGGATAAGATACTCAAGAGACAGGAGAGGAGAGAGAAGGTCGACGAGGACAGGGGTGTCTTGGGCGACGATCGCTTTGGCAAGCTGTTCGAGGACGAAGAGTTCGCTGTCGACGAGAAGAGCAGAGAGTTCCAGATGCTCAACCCCAGTACCAAGGTTGGAGACGGAGCGCCCAGGCCTCGCGGAACCAAGGAGAACAGCAGCGACGAGAGTGAAGGCGAGAGCGAAGATGGGATCGCGCCCAAGCCGAAGCCTGAGATGCGCATTTCTTCATCCTCGTACAAGAAGTCCGGGCATCAAAAGAGGGACACTGCTTTGGGGTCCAGGGCGCAACCAAGTGGCCGCGCTGATAGGAAACGGGGCGATGTGGTCGGGGAGAGACAAATCACGTTTGCACCAACTGTCAAGACGAAGGAGAGGGAAGCGAAGCCGGAACAACCTAAGCAAGGCAAACGAGACAACAGGCGAAGTGCAAGTGGAAATGTATTCCGACAACTATAAGTCTAGCTACCTCATGAAATGCCCGATATACCCAAAGCGCCTTGCTAGTCCCGTATCCACGAGCGAATTAACGCCGAACCAACCCGTCAATACACATAGCCCATCAATACATGTCTCATCAACCCCACTAATCTCTCATCACGACTACCTCTCGGTCTTCCGTCCCCACTTGGCGAACTTGCTAGGCGCTTTCATCTCAATCGCATCCGCCTTTATATTTGCCTTTTCGAGATCCTCCGTCGTTATCCTTGGCGTCGGAGGCACTTCGTCAATCTTCGACATGCCTTTCGAGTTTCTCTTGGGATTGCGCACGTTTTTTGGGAATTCGGATCGGCGTGGAGTAAGAGCGGTTGCGACGCGCTTGGCGGACTTTCTGATACTGGCGCGGATCTCCCATGACCTCTTCTTGGCTAGGTAAAATAAGACGGACGAAACGACTGAGAATGGTTAGATTGAGGCTCGCTGGAGTATTTGTGGTCAATATACCTCCGAATACCACGACAAAGCCAACGCAAACACCAATTGCGATAATCCCTCCCCTCGATATGGTGACAGACCCGCTACTCGGACCAGCAGCGCCGGCGTCGTCCCCGCTCGGAGTGTTAGATGGTGGCACAGGGTCTGTAAACAACGCCGCGAATTCCTTCGAGGCAGAGGCTTGAGCTGCAGACATTTCGGGTGTATTACCAGTTGGAGTTGGCGTATTGTTATCTTGGGCGAAGGTCAAATAGGCAAGATGTAACCAGCAGCAGGCGGTAAATAGAATTGAAGACCCCATTGTATTGTGACGGCAACCCCTCCCAATATATGAACGACAGGCAGTGAGATGTTACTCTGTGGCGCGCAGAATCGAGATTTAGCCAGCCGTCCACGTGTGATAGTGATATTGATTGATTCAGCGAGGGGCGCACAAATGTAATGGTGACGGGGTGAAAAGTGCGGCCATGGATGTTTTATGGGCTTTCTGTACGCATATGATCACACCAGGGACGGCCAGTAATTGGGTCCCCTCTCCATCCTGCCCAGCTGTGAAACTGCGAGTTAAGCTATTCACACCAGGGAATCCTTCACTCTGAAGCCGATCGCGGTTGTGATTGGTGAGAACCGCTTGTTGCCGCCGACGCTCAGCGCTTTGGTGTGAGCCAGGGTCGGTGGTGTGCCAATGAGAGCGCCGCGAGGCTTTTGGTGGTGAGTTTAGCGGGCACGACGACTGCGGGTGCATGAAGACACCAACCACTCCACTCCACGCTCCACACCACAGCTGTCAAAGTTGACACTTACAATCCTACCCAAGGTCTTGGAAACAGAGAGTGCACAGGATTGACTCTAATATTAACCTTCTGACGCCGAAGGTATGGCCTTGGCCGTTGGATTGTCGACCCAAGGCGTTCTTTTCAGTCCTTTGTTGGAGAACTTGGCAACTCGTCGACGTTTGCCACAGTCCACTCGTCTTGGCCTTGCCGTCGTCATCATCGTCCATGATCTCCAGAGCGTCTGCTGAATCGCCCGTCGAATGCGCCGTGGTGGTCAGCGCCTAGCTTTGGCTTGCAGTGAGGGCAGATGTAGCGGTAGCGCCGAGCGATGTTTCGACATCTACACAGCTACTATGAAGGAATGAACAGGGAATATAACAAGTCCCATTGTTGAATAGATGCAAATGTCATCGTAAAGGTTGGTATAGAGGCCCAAAACTTTGGAGTATGGAACCGTATCTCATTTCAATCCTCATCGCCGACCTACTTGTGAGGGCGGCTCCAGTCTACCCATGGTTTTCAACTATGGAAGAGATGTGTGCTCTATATTCGTTCTCCCAACGAAGAAAGGCGGTGCCCTTAAGATATGTTTGTACTTCTAATTCCGTCACTTGGTACGGTAATAATAATTCTATTAAGCGCCTTTCCACAAATTTATCCCTGGCTTCTATTTTCCATGTCGTATGCCCTGAAAGCCACGAATCCTGTATGCACTGGAGAGTATTACCGGGGGTCTCTCTCTATTTATGGATATCAGACTTTGGGATATATGATATATTCGGCGAGGCAGACATGTGTGATGTTTTGTTATCTGCCGTGTCATCCCACGCCAGACTTGAGGTGCCATCTTGCCTCGCCCCCCAATACAGTTACAACAGTTAATGGCGACTTCACTTAATATTTATACATTCAACTGAGGGTTAATTATTATCCAGGTGTTGTTACGTTGTAAATACAACTGTATTCCAAACGGTAGTGTAGCAATGTGTTGTTGTTTCTGTTGCTTCTTGGCAGTCACGATGGCCTGCATCGTTCCTTCCTTCTGAAGAGCAAAATCGTAGTTTCCTACTACAGCATCCGATTTACCCATCCGTCTATCACTGCCACCAAAGTTCAAATCTATCCACCCGACCTTTTCTTTCTGCTCTTCTATCATTCACTTTCTTTTCGCCCAGCCGTTTCTATCTGCTTTTCCTATCTTCGCATTCTCTTTGCCCAGTAATCCCTTCGTATTTATGAGCCTAAAGATATTCCGAAAGGCTTTCCAGTGTCAGTCAGATGGGCATCTAAAACGTTGGGTAAGCCACACAGTTTCTGTTCAAGTAAGTTTCAAGTAGCATATTTAACATAGTACAGCAGCAATTTGGGGTCATGAGACAACTGAACCTATTGTGACTACAAACGCATCACAAGGCTTGGTTGATGAAATGGACGAGCCTATGGAAGACATCTGTACCGATCCCATCAACAATGGTGCCGGGGAAACCCAGTATGTTTCCGTTGAGATTGACACCCAGGCGACCGATGGATACGACGACGCTGTAGTCGAAGACAATATATTCAAGCAAATTCCAGACGGAGCGCCCAGAGCCCCTCCAGTGTTCAATGCCAACCCTCGATATAAGGTGCCTCTGGATCAAGATGAGCCTGTTATGGACTTTAAATTTGCGAAACCGGCTCATACAACGCCTGTCCTCAGGACCTCCAGACCCAGTGCCGACACCGTAGCTCCTTCACGCAGAGGCCAAACCCCCTCTTCTGAGATATGCAGCAGCGCCCAAGAATCTCATCGTAAGAACCCAGGTGATTTTTCAAAAACTACACTAACTATTTTCTAGAGGACAGTGCGATAAATGGGCCCCTTACAACCGGTGAAGCAAAAGTGCTTGCAGAAGCTACCATTGAAAACGACGAGGCTGAACTGCCGTTAGAAGTTGGGGCTAGCCAACGCCCTGCTCTCAAGAAAAAAGACTCGAATGCTCAACTTTCAACAAATATACCTACGAGACAACAAACACGAGAGATTAGCTTTGCTGCAGGTCCGATCAGTAATGATCGACAACCCATTAAGTAGGTATCTGGGTCCAGTATTCCAAGCAACCCTAACATGTTTGTAGGTCTCTAAGACCACAGCAGGCTCGACAATTCACATCCACGCCTCCCCCCCTTCCAGACGTACAGCATCAGACCAAGAAGAGGTATAGGTCAGTGTTAGACGGAACACCTAGGCTGCAATCAGTGGTCTCCCCACAGCAAGAGGCAATAGCCAGAACACTCCGTCAGAAATCACAATCTGGCCCAATGCCCCCAACGTTTGAGGAGCAGACCCTTGCTCAAGAAGGAATGCTACAGCGGAAAGAAGCGGTTTTTTTTAGTACAGGTGTTGATAATGAGTTTAATGTCGGCCACCTTTCGGAACAACATGCATCTTCCTCGGGACATGGACCTCCCTTTGCTCCTAAATCAGAGACACGAGCACACTGGCTAGCTGCCACCGGCAATACTGAGTGTGACGAACTGAGCCCGCACATGCCATCCAAATCTGCTGCCAATCAGACACGCAGGGCTAGCATTTGTTTCAAAGATAATGATCGGATTAGAAAATTGCCTGCTGCAAATATTCCTTTCCCTGAGACTACATATCCAACGACCCCGCATACAGGCAATGGCCAGAGAATGCACGAAACCAGCAGGCCAATGTTAACGAATAAACCGGGACGCAAAAGGGATGCAGTGAGCCCTTGTGTCAATCTGCAAAGCATAATCCAGATCAGTCCCAAATTCGCTCTAGAAGGGGGTAGTCTGAAAGATTCCAGTGATGGTCGTGGGTCCACACCACAATCACGAGAAGCTACGAGCTACTCTAGACAGACCAGCAATCCGCCCAGCGAGTTACTCCAGGGCATAGAGGCTTACATGGAAAAGGAGAAGCAAGCCCTATTTGAACAGATCGAAGAAAAAGATGCCAAAATCAATGAAGTTTCCAAAAAGAATGGAGATTACAAGGAAACCATTAATGAGCTCAGAAGAACAAACGCTTCTCTATCTGAAAAGTTTGCAGTGATGAGAGAGAAAGCAGATGCGCTCCATGAGAGTGTAACCTCACAATTTGAGGAACATAAATCACTTGGGGCTTTTGTGACAAAGCATAAATTACAAGATGCAGAGTACAGGCATGAGGCGGAAAGCATGAGAACGTCGCTCATGGAGGCAAAGAGCGGGCTCCAGAGCCTTCAAATCTATCAGCAAAATTCTAAAGTTGGACTGGAAGAAACTAGAGCACTAGCCATAAGCCGTAAGTCAACCCCATGGTATCCTATAATTTTATTAATACAGGCCACAGAAATCGAAAATTACAAGTCGCTTGAAGAAGGTCTTGGGAAGTACAAAACCAAGCTACAAGAGGAAATGGAGAAGTCACAACTGCTCCAAAAAGAGCTCAAGGCACGACATCAAGAGAAAGGTCTGAAAGATACCATCAAAGACCTTCTTGATAACCACTGTTTGAGCGTCACCGACAGGCTAGCTATTCAAGAGAACAAGGTATCAGAAGCCATCAGCAATACTGACAGAGAGAATCAAAGCAGGCTCTCTGACTGCCTAAGGTTACTTGAGTCGACAATAGGAAAGCCTCCACGGGCACCAAAAGAGATGCTAGAAATGACGGGCCTAATTGAAACCCTGTCTACAAACATCAGCGATCGTCTCCAAAGCGCAGATGATGGGAGTGAGACCTTGCGTAATGCCGGAACGGAGGTTATGGAGGCATTGAAGACTCGCCTCGAAACCCTCTTTGAAATTCAGGATTCCAGGATAGACCTAGACGAGCGGATATCATCTCTGAAAGTTGATAATGCACGTCTAGAAGTAGCCACTCGAGGGCGTGAAGAGAGAATCCTAGAGCTTCAAACTCAATTAACTGCCAAGGAAAGCGAACTTGACAGGTGCCGAGCAGATTCCAATGTGAAGTCTGAGTGGAATCGGACGCAATTGGAGGATAGGCAAAAAGAACTCGATAGATACCGCGAGGAGCTGGCAGCAAAAGAGAGTGAGCTTCGTAAAGCCCAGGCAAAGATAGCATCTGGGTGTGTTACTCAAAATGAGCTTACGATTCTCCAAGAAACCCATGCAAAGTCTGCCAGTGACCTGGCGGATATTACGAAGCAATTGAGGGATTGCCAAGCAGCATTAGCGGAGCAAAGCGAAACGGCCAACGCGATGCAAGTGACAAATGCGGATCTCGAAAAACGACTGAGCTCTGCAGAACAGAAGGCTATCGATGTCGCGCGAGAGTTGTCGCAATTCAAAGCAAGCGCAAGTGAGAGCCTCAAGAGACAGAGGGTGGAGGCAGAAACGGATAGGAGGAAGTCACTAGAGTCAGAAAAGAGGAGATATGTGCAGAAGGCGTCAAATCTCCAACGTGTGCGAGTAGAAGCCGAAGCAACGGCAGAAGGGTTGAAAGCAGAGTCCAAGAAAATTAAAGAGGACGTCGAAAAGAAGGAGCAGTTGATACGAGCCCTCGAAGCAGAGAAGACCACCCTCGAGGGTAAAAATAAAGAACAGTTGGAGAGACTGGCCCAATTGCAGCAGTGGTCTAAATTTCAAGTCGACGAATACCACTCATTGACCGAAGATCTGAAGTCAACCACTCTTAATATCGCAAAACTTGAAACAAAGCTTGGACATAATGAAGAAAAGGCAGCTGCGGATTCTCGGATGGTGAACGATATCACTGAAACCGTCGAGGCTATCGTTCATCAACATGTCGCAGTTGTGAGCCGTTTGGAGTCATACGAGAGATTTGAAGCCAAGGCCCAGGACTACTGCCGGAAATCCGGTATATCCTTCGAGGCCAACACAGCACTAGATGCGATTCTAGAAATGCTTGCCAGATTTGAGAGTCGAACCTCAGACGTCGCCAGGACCTTATCGAGTAACAATGGCGTCAGTGACAGAGCAGATAAACCAGAGGCCTCTAACGGCCAGGCTACCTCTTTTACCCCTAAGGTTGTACGTCTTAAAGTCCCGGATTCACCCGAAATACAGGATTCTCAGATGCCTTCTGCACCAAGCTCAAGTCCTTTACCGAGACAAGGAGTTAGAAGCATCACTTCCCAATCCAGGCATGTCTTTACTAGTACAACCCTTCCCACCAGAGAATCATTGGGGGACCTCACCAACAAACTTACCACTGGAGTGGCCAAGTACCGCGAGTCAAGGCCTACAAAGGATTTCGAAGATGGCCGTCGCCACTCTCCGTTACATGCGCCCGAGATCGAAGATAGCCAAGATAAAGGCCGCGAATTGGACCGCAGCCCCAGCTATAGCCCATTGAGTGAGACGAACACTGACGAATTGGATCAACCCCACGACTTCTACATGCTGGCTTCGGATCACCCAGAAAATAAAAAGGGGCGAATAGGAGAGACGGCTAGAGGGCAACGTCTCACTGCAGCTCCCAAGAAGGCTGATGTTAAACCGTCCAAAATGCAAGCCAACAAGCGATTGAAAAGCTGCCTGAGACAAACCATGCCCAGGGATAACTCGGTGGATGATAAGTCAATGATGTCGAACGATACCCTTAAGACACCATTGTCAGATTCAACGTCGATAAAACCCCCCACAACGCGAAAAATCTCAAATGCTCGAGTGGCATCAATTTCAAAAGTCCAAGATCCAACGAAGACACTTTCTTCTGATAGCAATCTTATCCGTGGTGGAAGTACACCGAGGTCCGACTCTAAGCAATCAATCATTGCTGTGCGACCTGAGGGCATTAATTCCGAGTATAATCTCCGAAAACGTGCCCGGTGTTCGGCCCCAAGTGGTATGGGATCTGAACCTCCTATCAAGCAAACAAGATTGTCGTTCCCTGCTGGCCGAGAGTTTCAACCTGTCTCGCCATTCGTCCTGGAGGAGAGCAAAAGGCGAGAGAGCCCGGGACCATCTCTTAGGTCCCACAAGTGACGGATTATTGGACTGGTTTTCACGGTTGACAAATATATATTCTTGTTATATCCTTATGTAGGTCTGCTGACGGAGCTTGGGGGGATTGAAGACTTATTTGCTGGAGAAGGCGTTGTGGAGAGAGGAGAATTCTATTACAAATGATGCTTCTTCTATGATCGAGTTCAACGGAAGTGGGGATGAGAAGGAAAGGGGTATTTGTTGACTTGCTATTGCTGTCACTTATTTATGTCAAGGGGATATCAGTGGCCCAAAAGAGGGGGGCATATGGATCGCTAGGATGTTGTAGCACCACATTGCACAAATAACGAGGAAAATATGGTTGGAAGGAGCCTGTTGCTTTTTAACATTTGCTCTGGCTTCGAGGAGCCGCTTGCTTTAGATATCTCTTTTATACACTATCAATCCATCCCAGCTTGTCCCAACAAACGCCGTGAATGCCGTTATGCCATATAATACAACCACCCCCCCTCCTCCACGGGTGCACCTTGAGCTCCGCACAGCTCCTCCTCAACCCCAACCCCTCGGCCTTGTCCCGCCCCTCCTCGCTATCGTATCCCCTCAACACAGCCTACTTCTTCTTCTGCTCCAGGAACAAAACCTGCTTGCGTACTGTCACACCGTCGTCAGCAAACTCCATCACAGTCCTCACTTCTCCCCAGAGGCGCATGGAGTTCCAAACGTACCAACAGGATCGTATTTCAGCATGCTCAGCGGGCGGTGCAAGCGCGGGCGGCTGAACGTCTTGTAGTAGCCCGTCATGGCCATGGAGATGAGGCGCACGGTGATCGTGCGGGATTTGGCTGGGGGGGGGGGTTAGCTGTGTTCTCTTGTCTTGTTTGAATGTTCGGTGGTGTTCGCGGTCGAGGCGGTTCACGGATACGTGCGGGGAAGGGATTGTAGTGGCGGACGAATGCGCGTAAGAGCTTTGTCGAGTGGGAGAGGGGGGTTCGTACCTTTTTTTGCCATGGTGAGTGTTGTGGTGGGGGATTGAGGCGTGAGTGGTGAGGCTTCGAGATGTCGTCGGGATTTGGGAATTGGGAAATTGTAGGTCATGTGATCTTGATTATTTTATTGGGGCCATACATTTAAGGTTGTCAATATTGAGCGCCTAGGCCACTGCTGCCTGAACATGTGACCAGGTGATTCCTAATTGGGTCTAAGTGTTTCCACAAAAACAGCTGATGCCTATAATTACCCGCACGTGATACCGTGTTAAGTTCGCGTCGGTCGATCTTTCGGGCCAAATCACCAATAATTTGTTGGAAAGCATGGGATTGTGGCTGTGATGCCTCAATGGGTAGGTTCGGCTTCTCTGTCTCTGCACTTCTATATAACTATGGTATTTCCCAATTCCTCTCTTTCATTCTTCAATTGAAGTCCTTTTCACAATAGGAACACCTCTGTCTGTTACTATTAACCCCAAACTCTTCCTTTCTCGTCCGCAATGGCTGCCACAAACTTGATAGACCGATATCTGGCTCTGCCAGGAGAGCTTCAATCAATGATTCTCTCTTTCTGCACAAACAATGATTTGGTCTGCCTTAGTCTTGCCAAGTATGCAGTCCCTCTCCCTTCAATTGCAAAGAGTCCTCACTAATTCACCCAGCAAAAACCTCCATTCCCTCTTCGCCACTCCCAAATCAGCGCCCCTTTTCACCAACGAGATCCTCGCTTCGCCCGGCCACTTATCACTTCTGCCCACCTCCCACCCATGCTACAGATACCCGTGGGCGGATTACAGCGCCCGCCCCTTCAACGGCTTCTACGAGAACTTGTGCAGGGCCAGCGAGTGCTACCACGATGAAAAACTCGACTGTGAGTTATGGCGCCGCTTGCGTGACTGGATGCCAAATAACACACGCTACTGCGGCGGATGCCGCCGCTTTACGAAGCGTGATAAGAGGCGGCGGAAAGGAGCTTGTAAGTCGAATTGCTACTGGTTATACAGACAGTGCCATTAACACCGTGCAGGCAAATGTACGCGCCCGGCCCGTCGGTCGACGGACAACAATTGGACCTACAAGAAGTACCGAGGCTTCCACAGGAACTTCTGGAAACTTCACTACACCGAGGCGAACCTGGCGAAGGTGATACGGCGGTACACCGAGCCGCGGATGAACAGATCTCCGTATGGACTAAGAGAACGTACGAAGCCGTCTCAGAAGCTGCTGGAGCACACGAGCAACCATCAGTATACCCAAGACTCGACGGGCGTGTGGTGCAAGACCGATTTCACCTGAGCTTGCTGATCGTCAGCTGTACTATTATATACCCAGTGCCCATGGGGGTGATGACGACGACATGATTTCACGAACTGACGATCGGTATGACGGAGAATACATGAGGGACTTTATCTGCATATTATTACCCTATTTTTGTCTGCTTTATAGCGCATTACAAGCATAGCATAGCGACTTGCATTTATCAAAATCCACATTTACTGTACCAATTTTGCTTCCCATCACCACCCTTGCTGCCATGCTCTTTCACTTCTCAAACCCACCTCTCCACCCCCGTCCTCCCACAACTTTATTTTACCTCATCCGCCCCAACCCAACCCCCACGCTCCAACCACGAGGCGAATGGAAGAAAACCTCGAGGATACGGGTCAGGGGGAGCGCTAGGACAACCTCATCCGACTCAGCTTCACCTGCGCCCATTCTCTCTGAGCTCTACAACCTTGCATAACCTCCACCAAAGAGGCAAAGATGGCCGAAAAGTTGAAGGATACAGTAATACATTCCCAATGTATTGATAATTGATTACTAACTTTTGCTATACGCTATTTACAAGGCTTACTTGGCAATAGGTACACGCCCTCAAAATAGTCCGACCTTTTCTATACGTTTGGTCGCAAAATCACTTCATTATTATGGCTTTTTTAATATATTCCGGTATCAACGCTGTGAGGCCTTAATATGAAGCCGCTTGCGACGACGACGTAGTCGTAGAAGTAGTATACTAGCAGCTATCGTTGCCACCAGCAATTGCTGCCTCCGAATTGGCATTCTAACGCTGGAATTGAGGCTGTGATAATGTAATAATTTTTTCCACCGCTGTCATAATCAAAAGGTGCTTGTCCACAATGACTGTACACGACAATAACTCTACACGCAAAATTTATATGGGCAAGGCATTAGGGGTAAGTACTAGTATGGTCAAACCAAGCTATATACCAAATCTCATACATTTTCTACATATCTGCAATTGCTGGTGGCAACGATAGCTGCTAGTATACTACTTCTACGACTACGTCGTCGTCGCAAGCAGCTTCATATTAAGGCCTCACAGCGTTGATACCAATCAGCACTTAGGGGCAGTATGGAAATCTTATATCACTACATTAGGCCTAATTAAAACTATCTACTAGGGTCTACAAGCGCTATAGCCAGCTGAGCCTGGGCTGTAACGCGGCGGCTTGGCAATTACCACATGAGGTAATGGTCAAGCCGAAGGTCGGTCAGGCTGCTAAAGCCATCTAGTCTCTTCGCATTTGAACAGGCAGTTTCAACAAATGCAAGAGACTTAAATTTAATGAAATGATCTGTCCTGATTCAGACAAGGATTTAGAGCCTGACTTATGAACAACAACAGATATGAATTGAGGTCGCTTATTGTAAGAGAGCCTTGGCAGAACAGGGCAGCGGGAAGTCACGTTATGGATAGTTACATAGTAAGGACCTCTATTGATATGAAGACTGAATGCTGCCCTTCCGATTAAGGGCCGCGTTCCTACTATATACGTTCTTGTGCAGGGTTCAGAGGGAAGACCTTCTGCCTTGGCACTATAGCGCACGTTGTCATACTTGTAAGGACACAGGGCACCCAGCTCACAGTAATAGCATATGAGAGTGCGAGTAGGAGGCTAAACGGATGCTATCCTATAGGTCTACTACGAAGGATACAAAAAAGATGAAGGGGGAACCCCGTCGAGTCTGTTTCCTTGAGTACCCGAAACGGGCCCGACTCGGTTATCCCAACCCTAGCCCTGATCCTTCCACCGCAACAGGTCAGCATCGACCCTGAACCCTACACCCTTACCATCCCCCACTATAGTGTAACTCGCTATGTGATCCTCTACTGCTTCGAAACCACACCGAATCGGATTTCATGCTTGTAGTGACCGTAACAGTTCTGAGACAGGTTCTTCGAGTATCTAGGTACGGAGGCATCCTTACAATACTGACATTCGTTGCACTCAGTTTGCTATCAAACTCAAGAGCAAACTTAGAAATCTCCTCCTCAAACCTATAAGTCACTATACATATTTTGGCTTATCACACCAACAACAAGCGCAATACTACTCAACAATTGCTACAACCCTCTATGATTTATTACACGTCATCGCCCCTTAGTTACTGGGCCGATATTACCACATAGCATATCTCTACAACCCTCTATGATTCATTACTGTAATGGTGGGTGCACCAGATATGAGAATCTAGCCACCCAAGGAAGGGATGAATTTACTAAGACAACACACTGTCTTAGGAAACAGAGCCAAAGGGTTGTAGCTTAGACTATTCCACAACGCAGCAATCAGGTGTATGATGTGGTGAAGTGGTTTAGACAAGTTGCAACAAATGTTGAGTCTGAGAACTCAGGGGTAAGTCAGAGGTTAGCACCTCACTGACTTTTCAAAAACAGAGAATAACAAGATCAATGCTTGGAAGCTTGGAAAAGACGTGGAAGTATGTGCTAGTCGATTTACTGTATTGTCTGCTTGCCCTTTCTTAAGGAAAGGGCAATCCTATTTATGCCAAAGGAGTGTAGTTCTCTTATTTTCCATGACTTTCCATGACTAACCAGGCTTGGTAAATGTATTAGAAATCAAGTGCGACCCACAACTAGCTTGCTAATCATGTAGTGAACGTAAGAGAATCCCATAGAACCATCTCTTGGGTTCCTAGCCTATAGGAAGTGAAAAGGAGGTCCAAGGTCAGAGTACCTATAGACAAATTATGTCATAACTTAACCAATCTTGTGGGTAACTAAGGAGCGATGACGTGTAATGAATCATAGAGGGTTGTAGAAGCTTCTAGAGCTATCGTTCATGTTCCTAGGCCTCTAGTTGGTAGAGATATGCCATGTGGTAGTATTGGCCCACCCCCTTAAGGAGGAGATTTTCTTAATAACTTGTTCAATGAGTGTCCAAATGATATGCCGTGATGTATGTAGCATAAACAGATGTAGTAGAAGAGTTTGCAGCAATCGTTGAGTAGTATTGCTTCTGTTGTTGGTGTGATAAGCCAAGATATGTATGGTGACTTGTAGGTTTGAGGAGGAGATTTCTAAGTTTGCTCTTGAGTTTGATAGCAAACTGAGTGCAACGAATGTCAGTATGACATGATCCCCCTTTTAAGGACGTTTGTTGGCTGTCTGCTTGCCCTTTAGCCAGTTGGCTTTCTTAGAAAGAAATTCTAGAATGAGCTTAGATGCATTTTTTAGATTTCTCTTAGGCTCCCAAGTGTTGTCACTTGTAGGATAGCCTTTTCACTTAACGAGGAAGTAGTCCTGACCTCTAAGTGTCTTTTTGTCAAGGATAGACTCTACTTCATATTCTGGTTGATCCAAGATCAGAACAGGAGGTGGAGGAGACTGAAGTGGTCTTAAGGAACTTTCTTGTGCCTTAGACAAGAGAGATGCATGGAAGACATTATGGATAGTCCAAGTAGGTGGTAATGCAAGCTCGAAAGCATTCTTGCCAATAGTCCTTGTGATCTTAAAAGGTCCAAGTCTTTTAGTATCAAGTTTGTCTGAAGGTCTAGTAGTTGTGATATGTCTTCTAGACAAAAAGACTTGATCACCAACTTTGAATTGTGGTGCAACCACCCCCCTGTTAAAGGCCTGAGCCTGCTCGTCTTGTGCACGCTGTATTTGAACCTTGAGATAGTCCTGGAGGCCCTTAAGGTAGATGATTCTTTCAGTAGCAGAAGGGTTTTTGAAATTTTCAGGACAATTCAGTTCTGCCACTTCAAACCTAGGGTGATAACCATAGTTTGCATAGAAAGGTGTCTCTTTTGTGGTGTTAGAGACTGTGTTGTTGTAAGCAAATTCTGCAAGATGGAGAAGATCTGCCCAGTTGTCTTGAGCATAGTTTGTATAAATTCTTAGATATTGTTCAAGTACAGAGTTGACTCTCTCTGTCTGGCCATCTGTTTGAGGGTGATAAGCTGTAGAGAAGCGTTGTTCCATGTTTAAGAGTTTAGAGAACTCCTTAAAAAAGTTTGAAGTGAAAACTGCTCCCCTATCTGAGATCCAGTGTCCAGGAATTCCATGATATTTAAAGACCACCTTGAGGAATAGCCACGCAAGTTCAGAAGCTGTGATAGTCTCATTGCAAGGCTCAAAGTGTGCCATTTTTGTGAGCCTTTCTACCACCACAAGGATAGAGTCATAAGGGGTAGCACCCCCTTTTGGGATAGAAGGAGGCAACTTGACTATAAAGTCAATGGATATGGAGTCCCATGGGCGTTCTGGTATAGGTAGAGGCTGCAAGAGGCCATAGGGCTTTTGCCGTGTAGGCTTGTTCAAGTTGCAAGTAGTGCAAGAAGATATATAGTCTTGAAGAGTAGTCCTTAGACTAGGCCAGTAGAACTTTCTTGTTAGAAGTTCATAAGTTTTTGCAAAGCCAAAGTGCCCTGCAGCTGGAGCATCATGGAACTGCTGTAGGAGGTGTAGCTGTAATCGTTTATCCCTTGGGACATAGATATAGTTCTTGAATAAGAGAAGTCCATGCTGATTTTTTGAGAAATTCTGTAGTCCAACTTTCTCAAGAGAGGAACCTTTCTTCTGGAGGTATTCCAAAGTTCTTTTCGCAAAGGGATCATGGTTGTAAGCATCTTTGAATGCTTTAAGAAGTGTTGCTGAGGGTGTATAGTCTTTAAAGGTCTCTGGTTCCTGAGAAGAGGTAATGGGGGCAACTTGGTCTTGAGGGGATAAGTTTACCCCTAAGTCCTCTGTAGTACTAAGGTTGCTTAAAGATGCTGCTATAAGCTTTGCTGAGTCTAGCAGAGCCTTTGTATTGCTAGTTTTAGCAGAATCTTGGTAGTCATGTCTTCTTGAGAGGAGATCTGCTCTTTGATTCTTGGCCCCTGAGACATGTTTTATAACAAAGTCAAAACCTCCTAGTTGTTCAGACCACCTTGCTTGTCGTCGATTGAGCTGTTTAGTGGTTGTAAAGGTCAAGAGATTTGAATGGTCACTGTAAATAGTGATAGGATAGTTTGCCCCTTCAAGGTAGCATCTCCAATGCTTTAGAGAACATACTATGGCAAGCAGTTCCTTGTCTGTAATGGGATAGTTTTGTTCAGCTGCTGATAGCTTTCTTGAGTAAAATGCCACAGGCTGTAGCTCTTCTTGTTTGTCTTTTGGAGCTTGGTATAAGATTCCAGAAATGGCAAAATCTGAGGCATCTGTCTCAAGAGTGGCAGGTTTCAAGGGGTTAA